ATGGATATTTATAATAAATAAATATGACAAATCTTTGAGGGGGGGGGGGGGGAGGGGAGTAGTCTCATAAATAGGATAATAAAAATTTTAAGTAATTTTTATTCTTATTACCATTGCAATAAGACATGCAAACGTTCTTGTAATACAAAACAAAATCAAATACAAAACAAAATTAATTCAGATTTGTCACAGAGATTTCTTGTAATAGATTAATTAAAATTTGTTCCATAGATTTTAAACACAGTTTTCATATTTCAATTAAAGCCAAAATCAGAAAAAAAGAATGCTCACTTACTTTTTTTTTAACATAAAGAAAAAAAACAAACAGTGCCTCTTCCAAAATTGTGAATTTGTGGCGATATTAAAATGAGAACAACTTTAAATATAGAATGTCTGTAATGATAGTGAAAACAGTGGTCATCTACTAGTCAGGGGCAAACATATAAGGTATGTACTAAGTTTGATCTCTATCACACCTCAATATCATTCAGGATAATTTACTTCTTAAGGTCAAGATCTAGTAAAAGTTCCTACAGAGTCCTAAAATTTAAAAAACGAACTCCTTTAATAATCCATTACAATTATAGCTTAATAAATTAAGGTGTATCAGGACAGAATTTTTAGATACCGGTAAATTCAACAAAAAAACATATTTTAAACTGCCCTTTTCAATGAAAAATGAAGAAATCAGGTATGAACATGGGAGTTTTCTCCATCTCAGACAAAGGAAATGTATGAATATTGCCTACAGTCTTTAAGAAAACAGGTTTTTCACATCTTCTTGACCTCTTTCTTAAAATGATATTAAATTGAATATATATAGGTATTGGGGTTACTTTTGACGTTTTTTATAATTGAATTCCATGAAAATGCATCATTTTCTACATAATTCCATTATAGCCATAATGTGGGGGAAAAAGTAAGTTTAAATCAATTATCAAGTCATAATGGATCTAGCACCAAAAAAAATGGTCTAAACTCATTTACTAGATCTTGACCTTAAAGGGTACTAGTGTACCAAATTTAGTGTCTGTAAATGGTTCTCAAGATACTGAGCTAACGATGTCTTCTTGTGTCTAAGAGTTTATGTTGTTTGACCATTGACTTTATGACCTCAAAATCAACATGTATCATATACTTCCTACTGTAGCCAGTGTGCCAAGTTTCATGTTTGTCAGGCAAAGGGTTCTGAACATATTGAGCAGTCAATACTTTCCTATATCTAGAGTAGTTTGACTCTTGACCTTGTGACCTCAAAATCTACAGTGGTCATCTACTCCTCAATGGAAACCAGTGTACCAAATTTGATGTCTGTCAAACAGGGGATTCTCAAGACATTGTGTGGTTAGTATCTTCCTATGTCCAGTTTGACCCTTAATTGTAAAATGAAAATCAATTAGGGATCATCCACTGTTTAAGAGGAACCAAACTGAATATACTAACTTTGAGGTTTGTCAAGCAAATGGCTCTTGAGATATTGAAGGGACAAGATCTTCCTATGTCTAGAATCTATAGTGGTTTGACACTTGATCTTTGACTTTTTCACCTGAAACATCTTCTCATGGGGAACCAGTATACCAAGTTTGATGTCTGTAAAGCAAAAGGTTCCAAAACTTGGTCAACTAAAATAGCGACTGACAGGTGCAAAGCAATACCCCCCCCCCCTTCTTTTTTTCAAGGGTGGCATAAAGAACATGAGGCCCATGGGCCACAACGCTCACCTGAGTAACTTTGGCCCTGCTGTTCTTTACAAGATTTTCCCCTTGTAATACATATTGTGGCCCCACCCTATCCCCGGGGGTCATGATTTGAATAATTTAGAATCTTCACTACCCTAGGATGCTTCCATGTAAGTTTCAGCTTTTCTGACCCAGTGGTTCTTGAGAAGATTTTTAAAGATTTTTCCTATTTATTTCAATGTAAAAACTTTGATTTCCCATTGTGGTGCCAACCTACCCCTTGGGATCATGATTTAAACAATTAGAACCTTCAGTACCCCAAAATGCTTCCAAGTAAGTTTCAGCTTTTCTGGATCAGTGGTTCTTGAGAAGAAGCTTTTTAAAGATTGTTCCTATATATTTCAATGTATAACTTTGATTCCCATTGTGGCCACACTCTATCCCCGTGAGTCATGATTTGAACAAATTTAGAATCTACACTAACCCAGAATGCTTCCAAGTAAGTTTCAGCTTTTCTGGCCCAGTGGTTTTTGAGAAGAAGATTTTTAAAGATTTTCCCTATATATTTCAATGTAAAACTTTGATTCCACATTGTGTCCCCACCCTTGATTTGAACAATTTAGAATTTACACTACCCAAGGATGCTTCCATGTAAATTTCAGCTTTTCTGACCCATTGGTTCTTGAGAAGAAGATTTTTTAATGACCAGACCCTATTTTTGTCTTTTTTTTGATTATATCCCCTTTCAAGGGGGCTTGGCCCCTTCCTTTTAATAATTTAAAGTCCCCTTCACCCAATAATGCTTTGTACCAACTTTGGTCAAAATTGGCCCAGTGGTTCTTGAGAAGTTTACAGAGGGGCGGACCGACAGACGGACGACGGACAACAGGTGATCAGAAAAGCTCACTTGAGTTTTCAGCTCAGGTGAGCTAACAATATACTTCACAACTCTGAAACATTTATTTTCCAAACAAAATGTTCAGTTTGTATAATAAATTATTGTAAATGTTCAATAGTAAATTCTGATATTCAAATCATTTGAAAAAGCTATATATATATATATATATATATATATATATATATATATATATATATATATATATATATATATATATATATATATATATATATATATATATATATATATATATATATACATATATATATATACATATATATATACATATATATATACATATATATATACATATATATAATATATATATATATATATATATATATATATATATATATATATATATATATATATATATATATATATATATATATATATATACATATTAAGGATGTCAATTTTGTCAATAATTCATATTCGAATATATTCGAATATTGGATAAAATAAATAAAATCTGTTTTATTTTAAATATGCATCATACTCTCATGAAAGGTTTAGCGTAGGTATACCTATATTGGAAGTAAAATTGTATGAAGACTTTTGTAGTTGAACAATAAGAAATTCCATTTGATATTTGTCAATGTTTGAAAGAAATAATAATAATTGATTTAAATGTAGAAAAGTATAATTTTTACAAATGAAACATATGTATTTATAGTAGCTCCAACTGAGGAACCAGTCGCCTTACCAAAGGCAAGATAGTCATAACGGTATACTGTTCAGATTTCAATAAGTGTAATAAATTACAATTATCTGCCTAATAAGAGATATGATTATAATCTTTGATACAATGTTTTTAAAATATAAATAAATATTTCCATAGTCAATTTTCCTAGGTAATTAACTAATTTTCCGATAATGAATATAAAATTCAGAATTATGTACAAACCAAGATATAATCATTTATTCTGAAATTGGGACTTTTACATTCTAATTACAGTCTAATTCTATTGGACATTCATTTGAATGATCAATTAAATTTGTTTTGATAAATATACTCTTCAAGTCTTTTAGACATTTTAAGAAGGTTTTCATTTTGTTGTCCTCGATTCTAGACCAGATCGTATTTAACTAATAAAAACTATGAAAGTACGTTTTGTATTATACATAAAGCATTATTGTACAATTCTTTGACACCTTACTCAAAACAAAATCCATGTAATTTAGTAATTCTACAACATAAGAAAGTTGTGAAAGAAATCAGGCGATCGAAATTGATCGCTAGTAAATTAAAGAAGGATAATTCCAGTACTGTTCTAATCAAAATTTATTATTCCCAGTACTTCTTTTTATGAAATCTGAAAAACACCGAATATTCGAAACTTGAATTTGTATTCGAATATCAACTCATCGAATGAATATTCGAATGTTCGAATATTCGTTGCCATCCCTTATATATATATATATATATAAATTCTAGCTCCTATGCATGTAACTTTAGGGTATGGCGGGGAAGGTTTAAACAAATCAATTATTTTGGCCAGTTTACTATAATGTGCCGAGAAAACCAATTATTTCTAGAGAATATCTTACAAACCCTATCCTCAACCAAGCAGAGACATATAAACAGTATAAATCATGATATATGTCTGACCCAAGTTAGCATGGTAAGGCACTGTCATCCTGTCTCTGGACAAGCCATGGGCTTCACCTCAAACTGGGTCTGAACTATTCATTCAATAATTTAAGCCATTGTTGTTTTTACGTGGAAATTAAAAAAAAAAACAGATATGACTTATGCATCACTTTGTCATCTTATAGCGACTGATCCATTTTGCTCAGATCTTCCTTGCTGTTGAAATAAGGCGCCAAATTCTACGCCTAACGATAGTCGTACATGTAATATCAAATCTGTAAGTTGATTTTTTTTCTCGATAATTCTGATTACAACAACTGTAACACCCCATAAAAATAACTCTCAGAAAAATAACCGCATTGTTTCACTTCCTAAACTATGAATATTACGACATTATTGAAACACTTTACGATAGTAAACAGAGCAGCGCGTATTCAAAACTTCCGGTAGTTGGATGAATGCAGAAACTCAAGTTAAAATAGATTTAGTGGCTATTTCAGATGTGGTCTATTTTTGACATGAGGTATCTGGGTTTTTTTAAATTATAATTATTATTTCAATAAGCATTAGTGAAGCCAGAGACAGCATTTATAAAGTATCCGGTGCGCCGACCACAGACGTTCAAACATGTTTCTTCAAGTTCGTGTAACAAAACCTCGTCATAATGATTTAAAGTTTGTCTACTTTTCACCATTTTTTGACAAAATTTCACTTCCTACAGCCATTAAGTTTAAATCAATATAACATTAATGAAGTGTGTATTTGGATTTAAGTTTGAACTGAAATTGTGCTTTTTTAAATGTTTCACTAATAGCATTCTTTAATATTACAGAACTGAAGGATCATAGAGGCACTGATAAATACCTCAATGGAGAAACACTGGTCAGGAAATATTTGATTTTAGGAGAGAAGCAGAAATAACAATGAATGCCTCAGTTCTAAGTATGAAAATCCTGATTTTTTAACATTTTGAATTTATATCAAATTAAAATATCAAAAAAATTACAATTGTTCAATCGTGGCTCAAATATTGTGATACTTATTGATGTAGAAAATGTCATATTGTCCCAGCGCAAGATTCAAGTTTGTTTGAAATATGGACCCAGTGATTCATTTTGGTCTGCGTCCTGTATAAATTACGCACAAATTTTGCTCAAGACGCATTATTTCAATAAATGTGCATACCAATGTATAAATTTATAGAAGGAAATGTATTATTTTAAATTGTTTTGGTATAATCTGATTCAAAACTTGACCGATTGTATCATATCCATGTGCTAAGCAATATGCATGAACAATTCTAACAGGTATAAGATTGTCAACAACAGGTCAGATTTCACAATTGCAGTTAACAAGCAATTATCAGAACTGAAAATTATTTGAAAGTTAGATAGCTTCGTTTGATTATCACTGATTATGTCTATACTGTGGAACATTTCTAAAGCAAATACTATACCTTTATATTTAAGCTGTAACCTGTATCATTTTTTTTTCATTATTTCCTTTACAAGCTAAGAAGTATAAAATTTAATCATTTTTATTTCTGACTATTTTTCATCTTTTCTTAAACTTTCTTTACTTCATTCTGCTTCTGTGCATTTTATGACTGATGCAATGTACGATCTAACAATTAGAACCAAAGTGTACAGTTGACAATATATTATTTTAATGACACAAAATCATGTACTATTACTTGGACAATTAATAGTAAAAGACTTAGTATAAACCACTCACAGCTACAATAAAACATTTGCACTTTCGTGCAATGCTCTTTTATATTTCACCAGAAATTCCTCTGTAATATCTGAAATATGCGGTACCCTTGGATTTGGACGCACTGATTTTGGCATGGAACTCATTGTTGTCATTAAGAGGGGTCCTGTGGACCCATGATAACCATTTTCAAAATGAATCACTGTGGACCCTGGAAATAGGATGCGGCCATAATAGGGGTCATTTTAAAAGGGAATATAGAGGAAATCAGTCAAGAATTTTGAACTTAAGTTTTGTTATGTCATGACTAATTTGGGCTGAGTTAGGCCACATTATGTTGTTATTTTTTTTATTGGAAAACAGAGGGGGGAAATCTTTTTTAAAATCTTCTAAAGAGTCAAGGTTACTAAGATGAGCATTGTGGCCCAATTAAATGCCTCATGAGCCTCTTGTTTCTTTCTTGTTGCAACACAATATCTTATAAAATCAAAATTACATTTTAAAATATTAAAAAGAAGAAAAGACTGTGTTCTAGAAATAAACATTTGCCAGAAGGGTTGACAGTCCCCCATAGCAATTTTTTCTCCAGTCAGTGAATAGGCAAGTAGTTATCTTGGACTTTGATACTTTGGTACTTGAATGTGCCATACATCATATACAAAATTGAAGTTAACAGTGATTTCAGTGGCTTTTTGTTTCATAGATGATGAAATCAGTAGGCTGCAGTCAGAAAACAGAATTCTACAGGAAGATCTTCGTCAGTGCCAGGTAAACTTTCACAGAATATAGATTTTGTTTATTATAGATGTGAGTAAAGCTGGTATATTGTTGATAATCAAAAGGTATAGAGAACTCATATCATTGCATACATTACATGTATGCAGGTTTTGAGGATGTTTAAGTTCCAGTAAGGATAATTATACTTCCTCTCTTTCAGAATGACAAAGACTTTGTTTGGTCTTTATGGAAAAAGTTACAAGTTGCTAACCCAGATGTCACCCAGGCAATCAGCCTTGTTGTTCAGAGGTGAGTTACTTAAGGCAACCAGCCTGGTCAGTGGTAATTCAGAGTGAAGTTACTTTGCCTGGTCATTCAGAGTTATGTAGACTACCAGTCTGAAATTTTCAGGGAAAATTCAAGTAATGTCAATTCAAGTTTGTTTAAACCGTGGTCACCAAGGCCAGATTGAGACTGTGATAAAGATAAAAAAAATTTAAAGAGGAAGTCATTTCTGGGTATTTTTTTTGTCAAGTAAGTCTTAATGTAAAGTAGAAGAAGTAAAGTTTGTTCAAACAAAGTCTCCAGGGACCAATTTAAGACAGAAAAGGGTCCAAAGGCCAAAGCTTTCTTGGAAAAAATGTTATTAAGAACAAGAAGTTTTCAACAAGTTAATTTACTAGGAAAATCTGTATTCTCAATAAACAATGGCCTTGTACGGAATAATAAAAATACACAAGGTAGGAAACAAAATTCAACATATTGTCCAATTGATAAGCAATCATTGTAGTGATGTACTGTACACTGAGAAATTAATATGATGGTTTTATTTTCACTATGTTCATGATTTATCATTTTTCTGTGAAATTATCCCATAGTGAAAAAGATTGTCAGATCTCACAATAACTTATCTGTTACAAGGTACTCCCATGTAATGTGAAATTAAAACCATTGTTATACCCTTGTAACGATTCATGACATTTTAGCATCGTGGAATTAAAACAAATTACATTTTTTTGGCTTCTTCAATAAAATTTTATATCTTAAATCTCAATGTCTTAAAGAAACCACTATTGATTTGAGGTCAAAAGGTCAAAGGTTAAGGTCAGAAATTCATAATAAGATACTGCAAAAATGGTTTCCAGATGATAACTAGTTTTCCTTGATCTTTTTCAATGAAATATTATATAATCCCAATTATTGATTTTTAGGTCAAAAGGTCAAGTTCAGAAATTCATATCTTGCACAAAATGGCTTCCTGGTGGTAATTTAGGTTCTCTTTGAGATTTTGCAATCTAATTTTATACCTTTAATTAATACAACTTAAAAAAGGTCCCTATTGGTTTGAGGTCAATAGATCAAAGGTCAGAAATTCATATATTGCATCCATAGTTTTCAGATGATCTTTTAGTTCTCTGTAAGCTTTTGCAAGGAAACAAAAGGTCATGGATTTGTTTAACATAAGAATGACATATATTGACTTAAAGGCCAGAAGTTGAAAGGTCAAGATCAATTTTTTTTACTTCCTCCATCTGCATTTTTTCAGGTCTTCTCCCTTTCTTTAGTTTCTGAAGTGAGAAACACACTTTCCCTGAATTAGCTTGTTTTATGTATGTATGTACTTTAAATTGTAAGAGCTTTTGCTTGAGACTCATATGGAATCTTAAGCCCACTGACCTCTTTTTAAAAACTTCATAGAATTTTTTTTCTTTTGAAAAGGGGGGGGGGGGGATAAATCTGTGCTAACTTGATCTACAGAAACTTTATCATTATGGCTAAAAAAGAAAAACTTGGCTTACAATAAGTAAACTTTTGAGTGTTTAGACCACTTAAGGATTAAAACAATTCCAGTGTCTGAAAAGTATGAAACAGGAAATAATTGAAAAGTCAGTGATGAATATCAGGTTTATGTTGTTTATCTGGGATATTCAGTGGTTTTCAGTGGTTTTTTGACAGTCTGTAGATCAGAAATAAAATTCTAGCAAAGACTTTATCCTAGGATTTCCTTACTAAAATGTTATGTCACTTGATATTCAGTAAATTTAGTCCATCTCAAGGAGTTTTGCTCAACTTATGCATATTAAGATGGCCATGTGATTGATCACTTAATTGATTGCCTTCCTATGTGCATTTTTAACTTCAGTATAAAGTAGAAACTTTTAAAATGAGTTTATTTCTTTAAGAGAATACCTTCTGAGAGTCCATGCATTGGAAAATAAGCTAAAGTTGATGTATTACAGTAATTTTGAATCTTAACTGAAATGTGACCTGTATTTAAATACATTCAACAAAGAATATGCAATGTACCTTACCTACTGATAATTTTTCAAGATATCCTTTATTTAAGATTATATGCCATCAGATATTCGTAGACAAAAAATCAGCACATATTACCAGGGATTTTAAAAAGATATCAATTGATGAAGAATATACAAAAAATTACTAAACATATATTCTAGATGTTTTGTTTATCCAAACTTGTTTTAGAAGAAGTGTACAACAGCATATATAGACATTAAAATATAGCTTACAGTTCCTTTAAGTATTGGAACTCTTCGACTCCAGGGAAAAAGACAATAAAGTTCAAACTACATTGCATATGTCCTTAAAGCATTGTCAACTGCAATCTAGCAGTTTTCATTTTTCAGAATTTAAAGGGCCAAACGAAGCCGTTTAATAATTTTCTTCGACAAAGAGATTATTATGATTTTATTTATAATTAACAATTCATGTTTTTTCACATTTTTAATTACTCTAAATTGAAAACAAAAACATTGTTATAAAAATGGAAGGCAATGACATCAGCAGAAATGGTGGTCTCCTACAATAGATTAAGTCTGTCTTGAGATACAGAATTGCCTGACAATGTTAAATAAGAGGGAAGTTACTGTTTCCATAAAAAATTCACATCCCAAAGAAGATTAATTAGAAAATGTGAGACAAGAAATAGATACCCGTCACATGACATGTTCTGACTGCCATCTTCTTACACGTCCGCCCTTCGTCGTGGGACACACTGCTTTTTTATCAGATTATCCTGTTTCATGGTAATTTGATTTTGATGTCATTTTCATGTTTTATTGAAACTTGTTGGAGAATGGGAATGTTTTATTACATTTAAAGAAATCTAAAATGTCGGAGATGTTGGTGTATTGATTATATAGTGATTGCATGCACGATTGTCTTTGATTTAGGTCCTGGTGATGTATATTGTATTGGGTCAAGTTTGACACAGTGTTGGTATCTATATTTGGATCAGAAATGTCTCTCTTAACATTTTGCTAATGTGTTCACTCACAAGACAGTCATTCTTTCATAGTGAGAAAGTGTGATAACAAACCATGTATTTTTGTTCTTTTTAATGGTAAAATGTATGCATATACCCACCAGCCTTGACCTGTATACATACTATAATGTTTTATGTATTCTTTGTCATAGGGTTCCTATTGTAGGAAACATTCTAATCTGAAATTATAAAAATATTTTTGTCATGTAGAGGTTATTTTGTACATGTAATTATCCTTGAAATGGTAATTTGACCAAACCAGATATTTCATCATTTATTCACCTTTAAAAAACAAGGAAATGCATCGTAGTTTATACTGAATTATTTTACTTATGGTCAATTATAAAATGTTTCAGAGAAAAAGAAAAGGCTGAAATCAAAGACAGGAAAGTGCTTGAGGTTTTACAGATGAAAGATGACAAAATAGAAGAGTTACAAACACTTTTGACTCACAGATCTCAAGAGCTAGGAGAGATAGCATCATTGTAAGTGGATTTTACTGAGTCTTACTATTTTTTAATGTTCTATGTGCATATATTTACAGAAAATAAGGGATTTATTTATCTCACCAAACAGATAGATTTAATAATTTTTTGTTGTACTGTGAAAGTAATTTCATTTAAATGATATAATGGGTTATGGAACACTGTGTGTCTTTATAACAGAAAGTTAGACCACCAAGAGGAATTTCGGAGGTTTCAGAAAGAAATTGACCAATTACGGGATCAGAATGCAGCACTTGAGATGCAGGTAAACCTTACTGATCAAAAGCACACAGCAGCATATGTTAAGTACTTCCGTACTTTACTCCAGCAACACACATTGTATATTACAATATGCCATAGATACTAGCTTTGAAGTTTCAAAAATACTCTAAAACATGAAAATGTTTCTTTAAAGAGAAGGAAAGTGGAAAGAATGCCACAGAAATATGATACATAATCTTATTGTCTCATTAAGGCCTTAAACTTTTCGAGTGACTTTAAACAATTAAATTCATGTATGTTGACAATCAGGGATATGTTAGAGTGTATCCATGCTTCCATCAGTACTTATATATATATATATATATATATATATATATATATATATATATATATATATATATATATATATATATATATATATATATATATATATATATTTAAACTTGGATCTGTCCACCCCAGTTATATCAAAAATGAGTTTTAATTATAAAAGGTAACTAATTTACTATCAACTTCAGACTTCAGTTAACAGAATCACATTAAATAGAGTTGATTTATCTACAAATTTAAAATGATTTTTTTCTGAGAAAAATGCATTTAGGTAAGTCAAATGTACACAATCCAATATCCAATAACACAGTTTACCTTTAGATGCATATGTATGTCATACATGAAATATACACATGTATTCTGAATGCATCAAAAATACTGTTGAAATTTTCCTTCACCCCATAAGAAATTAGAAAAGCCAAAAAAAAGTATTTCAAGGACACTACAGTTTTATCTATCTCTTTATGACATCTCTTATGTTCAGTGGCTCTAATAACAGAGGAAAATGTTTTACTTTAGATTTGTCTTTGGGATTAGCATTAAACCCGTAATGGCTACATAACAAATAAAGAGACTCGTAACATTTTATGATGACATAAAATTTGTTGTCTTATTTTCAGTCTATTTCCAGACATTTATTTCAAGTTGTCACACTGACAACATTGATAGGGCAGAGAAGGAATGCTCTGCGATAATCAATTGTCCTGGGTTTTCTTCATAGTATCGTTGGTTGTAAGATCCTGAAATTTTTAATAAAAAAAACTCTGTCATAATGGCCAGTATAAATACATCTCCTTCTGGTTATGATGACATAAAATGTCACAATTGTTTTGTTAATGTAGCAATTTATTGAATTTCGAATTGTCATTTGGTTAAGAACATGGTATTTACAAAGTGATAAGATTTGGCAAATTTTCCCAGATTTTAGAATTGCAACAATAAATATCCATTATGGAAGTCAGCAGTCTTATTCTGAGTGAGAAAAAAAGCTCTAAATTTGTGAGAAAGGAAAAAAAATCACATCTAATTAGACTTGGATTAGTATAAGTTCAGTAAACTAAGATGCACCCATGTGATGTTCCTTTTATCTTGAGGAATATTCATGAAAGGATCCAGTATTTATAATGGTCCATATTTAATTTCAACTTTCAGAAGATCAGAGTAAGCATTTGTGTATAAGTCGTGTTTGTGCTGCTGGCTCTGTATATTTTACAGAGAGAGTGTCGTGTTTGATCCCAAGATTTAATTACACCTACTCACAGATTATTTTCTGAGCACTTTCACTGCTAGCATAATATGGCTGTCCAGATATTTACTCTACACATTTAGTCTTAGCTTTGACATATGTAAACAGTAGGTCATCAGCTGATTAGCCCCCAGGGGGGAATCCATAACGAAATCAACATTTTGGTGCTAGAAGTCCATCATGTATATCTATCATTGACTGTTACAGATAAAGATTCTGATGCTGAAAGGGGACAATCTGACTGATGCTATCACAGCAGTAGCGGTGTTATTGAGGTTTTTTTTTTTTCTAAGGGAGGGGGGTGGATGCTATCAGGTCCAGGAGAGGTGACTAAGGTGTCACACCCTCATCTCTGACAATCCTTTTTTCATCCTGTCAACAGACTTTGTTCACTATCATCTGAGTGAAGAGAATATGGAAATAAGAATACCAGTAAAATGTAGATTGCTAAATGGCATAAAAAATTATCTTTTGAATTTACTCTGCATTAATTTGTGGGAAGATATCAATAATAAGTGCAATTAAATGACAGAAGTATTTTAATTTATAAAATTTAGATAACACAGCACTGAAATTCCAGAATCGAATCTGGCATTAACTTACTCATAGTTTAAATTTTTTTTTTTATATAGTTTTTTAATTTTTACAATTATCATTTTTTTTGCTTAAACAGTAACATATACACTAAGGTCATGATATTTAAATGTCAAGTAAATATTGTCTTAAAGTAAGAAATATGGTCTGTTTTAACATGATAGTTTCTATAACTTCAGCCCTTCCTCCTTTTCAGTAATTATTTCATTAGGTTATATAATAATTAATACTTTCATGTATGGCTCTTCTTTGTGTTGCCTCTGTCTCCTGGCTAGGTGGCTAGATAGCCAAAATTATTCTGTCAGCAGTAAATCTACATGACTAACACAAAGAGTTAGAGAGGGAGCAATTACACAATTTTTTTAATTGGGGGGGAGGGGGGGATCACAGGATGTAGAATGTAGATAATTATTACAAACTTTAGCTAAGTCATATTTAGATTCCTCTGATTAAAACAATACAAATAGAAATCAATAGATTAACAAGTATTTTTAGAAATTATTCATATTTATTGGGTAAAAAGTAGAAAATGTATATACATATATATATGATATAATAATGAGAGAACTAAGGTAGGTAAAGGGGGGTGGTTTGAAGACCGAAGGCACACCACATGGCCATCTTCAGGGACTAACATACAATGCCAAAGTCACAGACGACATTTATCAATGTCACTCTAGAATAGATATACACAAACATTTAAAGCAGAAAATATATTCTATTTCCTGGAAATTCAATAGGGACTTAGACATGAGAGAGAGAGAGAAAATTAGGAAAAGTAAAAAATTCCTTTGGAATCATTTCATGTCCAGCTTATCATGAACCTAGGTTTGTTTGATGTCATTTTTTTAACTGTCAACTTCAATTTGTTTGATTGGCTATCAGCAGTCCCCTCAGAGGAAACTTGTGGACCAGAATGTCCTTGTATATTTCATGTTTAGGGGACGTAAGGTTGAAGTGCGTAAAATTTGCACATAAACTTAAATAATTGCATTATATGTTCCATTTGTTTCATGTTGATTTAATTTGCTAGAAATGAGATGGGGCTAATTAGAATTTCTCAGCAGTGTGTCTGGACTAGGGGGACAGAGCCGTATCACACAACTGTTGATGGCTGTGCTGATAAGAAAGCGAGACATAGGAATCCAGAAAATATGATCATATTTATTGCAGTGCAATGTCAAATATGCAGCATAGAGTTTCAAAATAAGACATTGAAGGTTAATGTATTTTGTTTCTGATCAATGTGCAATGATTATCATGAATATAAACTTTATGATATTTATACATGTAACACATGTTCATACTACATGTACCATAGTACCAAACTATTTTAATGGCACCAAAAATAAAGTTATACAGTTGAGCATTGAATGGTCAATTTTTGCCTAGCACTATGTCACATATCATACAGATTGATGAATTGCTGATTGATCGGAAAGTATTAAAATTTGACACCACATTACATTGATTCATAAAATGTAAATTATTTGTTAGGAGTTCTATATAAAAGCACACAAGTGGGAAATGTGAGATTGTCAAGAGGTAACCAAAAAATGAATGTACACTGTCACAATAAAAACATGAGTCACAAGATAGAAATCTAATGTTACAGCAGAAATCAAAATCTGTGGGTTTTGAGGTTGACAAGTCTCAAATCATGTATGACAAACACAAATCCCCTCTGCATGCCTCTAATTGAGCAAATCAACATGGGTGACAAATTGTAATCATAAATGTTACGACAAATTACTGCAAATGAAACGTGAATAATTCAAGTATTCTTCGGTTGGAAGGCTATGGGATTAGCTAGAGGAGAGAGGGGTCCTTATTGTATAGAATTTCCAAGATTGATTTAACACTGAGGACAAATTGTTCTGCAAGATTGATAATTCATTTGTAAAGGCGGTGGGAAATCATCCCCGGAAATTCCTGTCTCTGATTATTGCTTTTTCTTATTTGTCTCCACAATATTTGGTGACCTGTAGTTTTGTTATGATAATACTTCAATCTAGACAGTTTGTGTGTGGGACAAATTCTGTTACATTTTCTTCCAGTAGAGTTTTCCTTTTCAGTAAAGATGATATTTTATATTTCAGATAAAATGATAAATTTCAAATAAGAAAAATGAAAACAAAAACAAAAATAGAAAAGATAATTAAATATACAAGAAAAAAAATAGTGCTTGCAGATATAGATGATCGGTTATACATGTATTGGTGTGAATTATGTGTAAATATTTCTAGGTATGAGCTGTAATAAATAAAATATTTGCTTCCACTAAGATGTAAATTGTATGGAGGTTTTAAACTAGAAATAGAAATATTTAATTCTGATCTCTAGGAGGTGATCAGTTGCTAATTAGCTAATTAGTACATGTAAGATGTACATTGTTAATAAACAGAATTCTCCAATACACGCACCATATACTATAAATCAATTTTTATTGGTCTGTGAGAAATATGCACAAGTTTAGTGACTTTCTTTTACTCGTAAACAGTTCTTGTTGTGAATCCCATTATTGTGCATTTATGTAGAATGTTTCCTCAGTTATCAAAATTTTTGCTATTTGATGCTTGAATTGTGGAATTTTAATTTCTGTATTATTTTGCAATTTTGCATTTTTATTCGAACTTAAATATAAAAGAAAAATGATTTGAAATTTTTTTATTTCATTAGAACTGCAAAATTCCACATAAATTTAACACAATTTAACAGAAATTGTCCATAATAGGGTACACTCAATTCTTCTCTCTGAAATGCAAAAATTATCACTCAAAATTTGTCATTCAGTACTGTAATTCTCCATAAACAATATTCAATAGAACCTCTTTGTAATATTGTATATAAATACAGTTGAATTTTGGTATCTCAAACACCGACATCTCGAATACCATGGATATGTCAAAGTAATTTAGAAGTCCCAACCACTTATTACTTAAGTATTTTGCCCATGATATCTCAAATCTTTAGATATCTTGAAGTCTTTTCTCGGTCCCATCGACTTTGAGATAACAGATTTTTGATGTTGTGGCTCTATAGTATTGAATTTTGTTAATAAATGTTTGTAAACTCTTCATTTTACGAGTTATTACTAGTGTTGTTGTATGACTTAGTTATGCTGACGAGGGAAGGATGCAAAACAGAAAACAAATTAAAACATTTTGTGTTCATGTATGGAAGTCATTTAAAAAGATTAATAGATCACCAAAACATTATTAAGCAATTTTAGGACAAACTAGCAAATTCAAAGAATTGTGGTCCCCCACTTTCGGTGTCTTAGTGGATGGGATGCCATTATTTATGGCTTATTGTAACTGTCTTGTTTGTCTGTGCATCATACAAAAAAAAAACATAAATTATTGAATTAATAACAGTTATGGCAAAAATTATAGCTTCTCAAAACTACATTGAACTTCAAGATCAAGGTCATGAGGAGAAATATCATAATAAAATCTGAAAGGTCTTGTCACAAGTAATGCACATGTAAAAAAAAAAAATATCAAAAACAAGAGTATACAATCTGAAAGGTTTTGAAACAGGTAAAGCACATGTCAAATTTAAATGCCGTACCTTCTCTCAATCAAAAGTTATCAGCAATGTTAAAATTTTTAAAAATTAGGTCAAACTTCACGTACAAGGTCATGGAGTAAAAAATCATAGTCTATTTGGAAATGCTTATCACAGGTAATGCACGTGTCAAATATGAATGCTGCCCTATCTTCGATCCTTCAAAAGTTAGGAACAATAATAAAATGTTTGAAAATTAGGTCAATCTTGAAGGTCAAGGTCATGGGGTCAAATATCATAGCACATTTGGAAATATTTTGACATAGGTAATGCACTTGTCAAATATGAATGCCCTATCTTATGTCATTCAAAAGTAATCACCAAAAATAAATTTTTGGAAATTAGGTCAAACATGAAGGTCAAGGTCAAGGGGTCAAAGATCATAGCGTGCTCAGAAACATCTTGTCATAGGTACTGCACATGTCAAATATAAAATCCCTTTCTTTTCTCAATCAAAAGTTATAAGCAAAGATAAAACTTTTGAAAAGTAGGTCAAACTTCAAGGTCAGTGTCAAAAATCATAATATATTTAGATGGTTTTGTCACAGGTAATATACATATGTAATATGAAAACCCTATCTTTTCTCATTCAAATTTTTTGACCAATTTAAAGTAATGTTAAAATTTTTTAAAAGTAGATCGAAATTCAAGGTCAAGGTCATGAGGTAAAAATCATGGTCTTGTCACAGGTAATGTACAAGTGAAATATGAAAGCCCTATCTCTTCTTATTCAAATTCAATAGTTATGACCAAGGTCAAAGTTTTTGTGACTGACAGAGGGACAGACAAACGAATGAGATTTAATGTCCCCCAGCTTCTGTGAAATTTCGTGAATTTACCATAATTCTTGAGACAAGAAATCGTATGTCTGCTATACTCTACATCTGATGCGGTAGCATCTATTTCTGACAATCATATTGAGTGAAATTGTTAGATCTTTGAAAATAATTAAATAAAAACATTTTTTGTTTCTCCTGAAAAGTGTCAAATTTTGACATATGATAATTTGGAACCACATTGACAATATGCTGATACATACTGATGAGAACAACATTTTTTTGACCTTGACCTTTCCTTTTTAAATCAGTGTTTAGCTAAGTTTCAAAGAAACTATTCAAGATATTTTAATCAAACTTCATATGCTTATACATATTGATGAGAGCTATTCAATTGCATCATCATTTTCAACTTTGACCTTTCCTTTTATCTTGACCTATATTTTCTCAAATTTATGTTTAGCTAAGTTTCAAAGAAACAAATCAAGATATTTTTGTCAAACTTTGAGGAGAACTTTCCACCTTCATCAACATTTTTTGACCTTGACCTTTCCTTTGACCTTGACCTCACTTTTCTCAAATTTGTGTCTAGCTCAGTTTCAACAATTCAAGATATTTTTTATGTAATCTTATGCACTGATACATTATTTGGTGAGAATTTACCAACTTTGTCCATTTTTGTTTTACCTTGACCTTCCAAATGATCTTTGACTTTACTATTTATTGTCACAATGTATAAAACTCAGTTTTAGAGAAACTGTTCAAGATAATCAAACTTCATACACTAATACAAATTTTCATGTTGCATCACAAATGAACCCTGGCTGGGACGTTCATGTCCTATGGACATATTTCTAGTTAATCTTAACCTTGGAGTTTGACCTACTTTTGAAAACTTGAGACCATGACCTGTAGTTTGACCTACTTTTGAAAAACTTGAACCTTGGCCATAACTTTTGAACAATTGGTGCTACCTTTTGACCTTGACCTTGGAGTTTGACCTACTTTTGTAAAACTTTAACCTTGGCCATGACCTCTGAACACTTGGTGCTAGGACTTTCATACTTTGCATGTGAATTCCTTGTGACAAGATCTTTTTTTAAGTACATGTACCAATATTTTTTACCTCATGACGTTCACCTTGGAGTTTGACCTACTTTTGAAAACTTTAACCTTTACCATAATTTCTCAATGGTTGCTGCAAGGGATTTCATATTCCACAGGTGTATTCTTTGTGGCAAGACCTTTTTTTTTGGTACCAACATTTTTGATCTCTTGATCTTGACCTTGGAGTTTGACTTGTATGTGAGAAACTTTAACCGTTGCCATGAGCTGCCGTAGAGGGGCATCAGTGTTTCACAAACACAATTTGTTTAATATTACCACACAGGAGCATATGTGTTTCTCAAACATTTCTTGTTTAAACCAATGATGAGGCCACAAAGGAAGTCCAAAGTTTTACATTAATATTATATGGGAATATTTTAAGAAGTTTCTTCTCAACAACAATAGGGCTAAATATTATAACTTTTATTAAAGCATACTCATAAAATTTAGTTTTAAGTTTATTCAGACCATAGTTCCTATGACATAGATTGGCCCACAATTGTCCAACTTTTACAAAGAAATATATAAGGTAAAAAAACCTTTAGATATGTTCTAAAAACAAATTTACATTGTCAAATACACATGTGGTGTAGAATTAAATTTGTTCAAAGTACTTGGCAGGGATGATGTGGACTAAGGTATCTTAGTTTTACATATTAAAAATACAGTGTATCCTTTTTTTCAATGATTGCAGGGCTACATGAATTCAGATTAAAATGCAAGCATCCTTACTTAGTGCAGGTTCAATTTGTTAATTTCTTAAATAACAGAATTTAGCTTATTATCATAACCATCAAGAAGAATTTATTTCAATAATTAGAAATTTTCAATACCAAGATTCACTGATGAACAGGATTTTACAATTTCTTTTCAAAAGAAAAAAAATAAAATTGTGATTCTGACTGGAACTTTGAATATTGCATAAGTTTATTGTAAACATGTTTACTGCAGTTGCTCCTAACCAGTTACAGATAATGGGATTTTAATTTGCACTTGTAAATTTCATTTGAGAGCTTTCCCCGTGTTTTTTACAGCTGCGAGCACAGGGTGTTGTATTCACCCCTCCTCCACGGTTTTCGTGGAAGGTAACACAAGTTTGCTGTGTATCTGTTATGGTTACATGTTATGGTGAAGGTTCAAAAAATTACTGAAAAAATCCACTTTTTATGAATTAACATTGAAATTATTTATTCATTAGAATTTTGTTTTTAATGCTGTTTTTACATTTTATCACTATAGTTGATGGACTGTGTTGTTTCATTTTACTTGAATTTACAATATGGTGTAAAATAATTGTATTACACAGATATAATAACAGTTATGTTACATTTATCAGGTCCATTATAAATTTATTTTTATTTGTTCTAAGAGAAATAAATATATTTTACAGATGAGAAGTGTTGAAGTACGAGAAAAAAGTTCCGGAGATTTGCATCGCAATACAGTGGAGAATCTATCTCAGGATAAAAGTGGTAATTGTAGATTCTGAATTATAATAATTCACTCAATAAGAAATATGATTTTATAGGGAAAAGATCTTTCATATTCAAAATCCAAAAGGATCAAACATTTGAAATTCAAAATGGGTGCTTCAAAGTAATCTTTCACAAACACTTCAAAGTTACAGTTATATTTAATTGAATTTCTGGACAAAGTCTTTTTTTGTCCTGATAGAACTTCATTACCACTTTGGCAATTTTAATCCAGATCTTTTTTTTTTTGAATTACTGATACACAATATGCAATGATCACTAAAGCCAAATATATTACGAAACATATATATTATAATATAAGAAACATGTATGTATATATAATGTAAGACATGTACATGTATGTATTAAACATATACAGTTGTCCATCGGTATCTTGAACACCAATATCTCGAATACCATGGATATGTCGAAGTGATTTGGAAGTCCCATCCACATATTCCTTAAGTATTTTACCCTCGAAATCTTGAATCCTCGGATATCTCAAAGGTTTTTCTTGGTCCCATTGAATTCGAGATGATGAGGTTTGACTGTATAATACTGTATGTGTACTAAAAAAATGGGCTTTATATTTTTGTGGCTTTGGCGCAGACAACGATGCGCTAATTTATGAATACAACTAAAAATCATCTATATATACAATACACGGCACAGACATCTATAGCGCTAATTCATGATTACGCCAACAACACCATACCAGTGATTGCGCTAAATTTTGAATACGCCAATTTATGTACACAGTATATTAATTAGGAAATGAAAATCAAAACAGTTGCAATTTTATAAATTTACTAGTTACACTATTCTAACATTCATTTCAAACCAGATTTGGAACAAAAATGTCGTAAGATGTCAACAGAAATTGAAGTGGTTCGGGCAGAGAAGGAAAGTATAATTGCCCAGAAGGTATCACTTGAAAACAAAGTCAGGCAATTGGAGCGAGACATTGACGAGAAGGTGGAGAAATTTGAGGGCATTATACGAGAAGTGAGTGAAAATTTCTTTTGAAGTTTGACATTTCATGAGAATTAGCCTTTTTATTTTATTTGTTTTACATATGTACAGTATATTGGCTGTATAATCCAAATTGGAGTGTACTCAGTTTGTGATAAAAATGTTTAAGGTAGATTAATGCCCTGAATATAGTAGAAGCAAAAATATGGTAATAGAGCTGTGTATTTTTATTATGCATTTTTATTTAAAGACATACTTCATATTGTTAACATGTGTTGATAAATAGTAATTTTTTTAATTTTCTGAAAGAATGGATTTTTGGGGGGGGGGGGGGGGGGGGGAAATTACAAAACAGGTTGTTCATACATAATATCATGTATGGTATTAGAAATTGAAGATCATTTCGAATTGGGATTAATTTTGCAAGTTTTTTGATAGTAAACTTTGCAAAAATTACATTAACACAAGCATTTCCACATTCACAATATCAGAGAGATAAACAACATATTCCCTTTTTCAGTTAGGTGAAGCCAAAAAATTACTACAACAGTATGACATAAAAACACAAAAATTAACAAAGGAAAATGAATTCAAGAATAAAGAGCTAGAAACTGTCAGGTAAGTGATTTTCTCTTTATGAAAACCATCATATTAACCAGAACTGCAGTAATTTGCCCCCAGTGTATGTAATGATGTGATTGTTTGTAAATTCAAGTAATACAATTGAATCTGTATCTTGGATTTAAACAGAAAAGAATTGTCCGAATTATGGAACAGTCACAATCAGCTGACTGAACACTCGAGTCAACAGGCAGACCTCATCAGACAGCTACAAAGTCTGCAACAGGACACACAAAAAAGTAGGTCACACAACACAGAAAAGTAGGTCACTATACATGGAGAAGTAGGTCACAGAAAACGTTAGTAAAAATTCTTATCAAAATCTTTCATGACATTTGACATAGTGGTTTATAATTATAAAGATGTAAATATCACTGGCAAATTTGTTGTTTATTTTTGGCCACCAAACATTCCTTAAAACAATCTCAAATCAAGGAATCAAAGCAAACAATGATTACAGAATACAGTCAAATGGCTTTGCTCTAAGTTTAATTGTTGGCTAATCTCTTGATGCTTTTTAAGGTTAAGTAATTGTACAGTGCATGAAATATTATTTGCAAAGAATATTTAATTTAATACTTACCTTGTAATATACATTTGTTATTCTACCAGTTTGTAGTCTACTTCTGATCTGCTTTTACAATGTGTTCTTTTTATAACATTTCATTTGAAATTGTCTCAATACACTGTTAGCAAAGTTAATTGTATATAAATCTAAAAGACCTAGTTACCTGAAATTGATACATTCTGAAATTCAAAAGAAGATATGTAATAAGCATCATTGCTTTCAAGTATGAGCCTACAATGAGAATATAAAGCATTCTGTTGTTAATATTTAGTGTTGAAGAATCAAGAGGATGCCTATAGCATGGAGACCAATTCATTACAAGATGTAAGTTGAACAATTACTTTAATACATAAAGCTCTCTGTGTGATTTATTATATTCATCCAGCTTTGTATATTGTCTTCAATTCTGGTTCTTTTTATGAATGTATGTGAAAATCAGTTGTTTTCTTGCTTAAATTTAATTCCCACTTCCCAATAAATATTCAACAAAATTATTTTTAAATATTTACATTTGCAAATGTTTTCTTTGATATAACACTATTGAAAGCAATGCGTATCTATATCCGTATAAACACAGGTTCCTCAAATCATAAATGTTTGATGCAATTTCTCAGTGACGTCATAAAGGGTCGATGCACAATCAATAGATCAAACTTGTGCCGTTGAGTTTGAAAAATAAAACTTTTCACTCGTCAAAGAGTATATTCAGGCAAATACAAAAAATGAATAAGTCACAAATGTAAATATAAGTAATAAGGTATCATTTTAAAACATCTATCGGGATGTAAATACGGGTTGGTACGAGATCAAATTTACCATAAAGCCCTTTGGGCTTCATTAAATTTGATCTTGTGACCAACCCGTATTTATATCCCGATAGATGTTTAAAATTGATACCTTATTTCTTAAAAAGCACAATGAAGCTGTAGGTAATTTTTTTGTTTGATCAAATTGATTCCAGATGTACAAAGATCTGACCAATAGATATGAAGCAGCTAAAAAATCTCAGTCTGAAATGCGACAGGAAGTCCACAACCTTAGAAAGGTTAGTGTAAAATCAGAGCTGGTATATCTGTCTGAGATGCGACAGGAAGTCCACAACCTTAGAAAGGTTAGTGTAAAATCAGAGCTGGTATATCTGTCTGAGATGCGACAGGAAGTCCACAACCTTAGAAAGGTTAGTGTAAAATCAGAGCTGGTAAATCTCAGTCAGAGATGTTACAAACTGTGCACAACCTCAGAAGGTTTGTGTAAAATCTGTCTGAGATGGGACAAGATGTCTACAACCTCAGAAAGGTTAGTGTAAAATCAGAATTGATATATCTCAGTCTGAAATGTGACAGGAAGTTCACAACCTCAGAAAGGTTAGTGTAAAATCAGAGCTGGTAAAATTGTTTGAGATGGGACAGGATGTCTACAACCTCAGATGGTTGAAAAGGGGGGAGGGGGGGGGGGGGGGCTAATAGTTGGTCAGTTGTAAGATGTCATAGCTTAGAGATAGTGAGATTGAAAATTGTAAATAGATTTTAACAAAAACTTGGAGGAACTTTGTCAGTTTTAGTCCATGTCATAATTGTTTATATATACCTAGTCCTTGTTGCACCTGGAGGCACATAGGGCAAGCACTAGGGATTTCCATTCTTCTCTGTTCTTAGCTGTCCTCTCCACCTCTCCCCAGGTAGTTAGAGATTACATTGAAAATGTAATAAATATTAAAATTCACCGTTTGAATTTGATAATTTTGATGAAAAGTAGTGCATTTAAATGATTTATATGATGTACAGGCATTTTTCTTGAACTGAAAGTCTCGGTGATATTAATTTCATTCCCCTTTTCTATAAGTATGTTAAATTAAAAGAATGTTATTATAATTGAAAATAAATTGAACATTATGGTAAAAGTCTGTTATGTGACAATCTTATTACAAACAATACCCAGTGGATTCTTTGTTGGTAAACTGACACTTTATTAGGGAGATGAATTCCTTCTTCACTGTCATAAGAATGTGATTTGGGATTTGCATTGAGTTTTAGAACCACACTACGCAATTAACTTTTCTTCTGCCATGACATTGGGAAATATATCTCGTTAATCAAAAGATCTTTTAATTATAAAGAAGAGATAAAATACTGATGATTAAAAAAGTAAATTACAGTGTAGGTTTCATTATCATTTATGAGTTGTCCAAATGAAGATATTTAAGTCACATCTCTGATTGATTTAAATAGTGCAGTGTTCCCTAGAGTTGAAAATTAAGTCCCTCAGTAGTTTTGTGATATAAGATAAGTATAAAATTAAATTACAGAGTTAACGGTTGGCATCAGCGTTAACTACATCAGACATGGGACAAATGACATTATATTGAGTTGTCCTAACTCCACTGTCACCTAGGGGACAATTTAGAGGCTTCATCTCTAAATCCAAGTAGCCTTTAAACAAATAGTCATCAATCATCGACCATGATGAGAGTCTCCAAGGAGGATACCGGCTTATTATATAAACCATCGTCAAACATTTATACAAAAATGACAATCATGCTGTATTCCCTGTCCTCCATTGGTTTCAAAGTAGATAGTGTGTTTTTCTCTCCCGGTACAAGAATACAATCAATAATCAAGAAATACTTGGATCTGATTTGATTTTCACAATAGAGAAAATTGTCCCTGACACTTATATTTCATATTTGCTAAAGACATTTCAAAGACGACCATTTATATGTCCCATTTGGTTTAAGTTAAAGAGTTCAATGTCATATTTATTCACTGAGTGGTGCCTCATAAATATTTGATTGGTAAACATGCAGCAATTACCATCATGTCTTGTATACTATCAAAATCTGGTGAGCTTTGTCAAGGGTCCCATTGGAACTGCAAGGTGGGGAAAGGACGCCACCAGAATAAGAGCAGACTAATGCTTCTGTTGCTTATTGGAGCAGTTTGATAGAAAGACATTGCTAGCTTCCCAATGTCAACTGTCTAGAGAGCCATTTGGAAAAGTCTCCTTCAATTTAGTCACTTCAAGACAGAACACATGGGTTTCTTCACATGCCAAAAATATCCATCTCTTATTTGACACAATTTTATTTGCTTTTTCATGTGTAGACTTCTATGTGGATATAAAAAAAAATTTGGCACAATTTTTCATGAATTTCATTTTTCCTGTTTTTGTTGTATATTTGATCCAAAATGTGTTTACTTTGACCTAATAACTCCATATGGATTAAAGAACTAAAAAGTTATATGTTTTCCTAATGTAGGTAGGATTATTTCTTGTTCAGGTTTTAAACTTGTAATATCACTACGGAAAAATCAATTCATCTTCACATGTTCAGCATAGTTTATAAATTCAATTTTGTACATTAACCCTTAAATCATATTCCTTGACAAATATTACAAACATTTGAAAAAGCTAGGAAAATTAGGAATAAAGCTTGTGTCCTAAAGGAACAGACTTCATATTATATTCATAATTTCTCTCACACACATGTGAAATATTTTAAGTTGTAATTGTACTGACAGAAAATGATGCTTCGTTAGAATCAGTCCCGCAGTATAACATGCGCCTTGTCATATTATTCAAATTTTCATCACGTCAGATCACAATGTTAGAGTCCCATTTTCGCCATGTGACACCTCAAGCTTTGGTTACATTATCAAGAATTTCTGTTTACAACAAGAAAGGGTGAAACTCAGAGCTTATTAATTTGGGAGACCTGTCAATTTTAGCACCTCACCGATGCGACTCCTATGACACGAAGGCAGAGAAGTCATATCATAATTTTGGGAGAGGTGGTTAAAGAATGTAATGGCATAATAGCTGTTATTAGAATGTAATTGGTTTTCAGCTCTAGCTAGATTGAACAATCATATTACCTCAAGGGGATTGTTTCCAGAATTGAATTGTAAAGCTTAACATTGACAGAAAAGGAAGTCCTCTGAGAGTTAGGGTGTCGTCTGTGAAATGGTAACAATTACACTTTTCCACGTTTTCCGTCATTAAACTGGAACTTTATTAGATTACAATGTTGTTCAAACACTGGTGGCTGGCTGAAGTGACATTAGTTCTTTTTAAGGTACACCACCAAAAAAACTTTCCCTTAATTGCAAAATGCAGTTTTAGCTTTTGCCTTAAAAAATAAGTACATGTAAGTTATAAATCTGAGGTACATGTACTGCTCTACTGCCTGACAAGTCTATATATTTGATATGTCTAAAAATGTACATGTTTATTTGTTTTTATAAATTTTGTATGTAGTGATATTCCACTCTATTATTATTGCCAACATATTACTGATTATATTGCAAACTCCAGCTTATATTCCAGTAAAGCATATATGAAGCTTTGTGTAACTTTCAGGAATCAATTAAATCACATCATATGTAATTTTTACAAAAAAATACAAACCTATAACTGTCTTGCATATCGGAAACATTTACAAAAATAAAAAGCATTATTTAAAAAAAAGGGATTTGTGTAAATTTTATTTTCCAGGAATTATTAGAAAAGGACTCTGTCATAGCTTCTCTTCAGGGTAAAGTTGATAGTTACCAAAGACGACAGAGGAGTAGAAGTCCTGGAACATCAGGCAGTTTTATTGATGAAAAGGTAATTCATTGGCTATTAGTTCACAAAGATTGAGGTGTGTAAATTGTCTTAATATTTTTTCTCAGCTTGAGATTCTGGTGAAAAATGTTGATTTATTTAGTTCTTCTTAAAGTAGTTTGAATGAGGCTCTGCTATACCCCTGACATCAATATTATGGGTCTACATGTACCTGATATGTTCTTGGAGCAAGTACCCCTCCCTAGAACAAACTTGCATGGATGATGCATTTAGGGTTATTTACTCAGCAGACTTGCTTAAGATGCTGTATCTGGCTTTTTTTTTATTTATTTTAATAAAATCAGGTTAAAGTTTAAGAGCAGGCTTATTCCCAAGTATCAATAAGCCTTACCTGAACCAAACTTGCAGGAATGATGTATGTGGTAATGCTACTATTCATGCTTTCATGCCATTCATGCCATAATATTTCTAAAGGCTTTGCCTCATTTACAGAAAGCAGTCATAGAGTAGAGTGAGTAATCTTGGATTATATGTGTTTAGTGAATGAATTGAAGAATAGACAGGAAGTAAGTTGGTTTCTTTTTTTGTTTGTAGCCATCATCTGATCTGGAGATTAAGGTTCGGGGAATGCAGCGGGAGATAAATCTACTAAAGGATGAACTAGAAGACAAGGATCGATTGATAGAAAGATTGGAACAGGAGAATGACAAACTAAATATTGAGTTTGATGTGTCTGGCCTCAACAAACGAGAAAGAACTCACTCTACCCCAGCAAGGGAGGTTCGCAGTGTAGCCCTGAGTCCCATTAAGTCCTCTGCCAGGGGGGAGCACTCCAGGTCTCGCTCACTGTCTCCAGTCAGGAAGGTGAAGGAAGGACCCCCTGTCAGACAGGGTGACCTCAGACACAGACTGCTGCAGACAGAAAGAAAACTGGATGACACCAAGAATATGCTTAGACTAAAGGTAAATACACACTTTGGGTAATGGTCTGATTCAAGATCATGTCTTGATTCCCTCTGAAAACAAGGAATATTTAAGTTTCAAATCAAACTCAAGGAGAGCAACTGCAGGTAATTAATGACATTTTTAATTAACAAGTATTCGTCTGCATTTATGGATCACCATCCTCTAAAATGTGTTGGGATACTTTATAAAACTTAATTAAAGTAGGAAGTGTATATTTGAATTAGTATAAGATTCTTTTCTAGCTCAGAAGTCTCATCAAAGCATGAGTAGTAAAACTGTGCAGGTTAAGATTAAAGACAAAGCGTAATTTCAAGTGAACTGGCTTGAATTAGAAGTATTGAACTTTTAAATATTGCCATTTTAATACATATATGTGTACAAAGTATTCAGATATTTTTAATGCTGTTTTTTAGAACCGTGAATTGGAGGAACTAAAGAAGGCTCATGCTAAACGCCTGGATAGACTGAAGAGTGCCCAGATAGATTACAAGATCCTTAAAGACCAGCTGAAGCTGTATGAGGATGAAAACAGGTATGAAACATATTTTTTTTGTAAGAGTCTGTAGAGATCCAAAATGAGGCCCCATTCCCCATGCTGAAAAGCAGGTATTTTCCCTAATTTTTCTTTAAAATTCTCAAACAATGAAAAAAGAAATCAAAGTAGGGTAGCCTTATTGTTCATAAATCTTAAAGTCCCAGATTCCAATTTTTACTCCAAATTGATAAGTACCAGTAAATGTAATTTAACCTCTGCTTATTTAAATTAGGTAAACAATAACAAATTTAAAGTAGGAGTCCAATTATTCCATAATGCATCTGGTTTGGTTTTTTTTCCCCCTACTTGTATGGAATATTTTTCCAAATTTCAGGCAAATGTCACTATTTTTACCCATTGGAAAGGCCCAGGCCCTTAATATCAAGACCAAAAAATCCTGTTGTCTGCAACAAATGCACTGTTGGTTTCCATTTTTAAGAAATTTTTCTGATTGTATGTATTGTATTATGTGCATCTTATTCTCTTGCATTATGTTCTGTCTTAAAATTATGTTCTCTAGCAATAAGATGGAGAGGGGAAGAAAGAAGAAAAGGGCAGACCCGCGGGATCTTCGCCAAGAGAACAGTGACAAAGTCTGGAATGAGCTAGCTGTGTACAAGAATGAGAATCGCAACCTGGTCGTAGAAAAGTAAGCCTCACTCATTATCTAAAGTAAAAACAGCAAGATACAGTCAGTCAGATTAACATGCAAGCTCACTCTTTAAGTCTGGTCAGCTTCTTATCCCAAAGCCTAAGGTGGGACCACAACAGCAGAAGAAAGTTTTACGTAAGAATTTGAAGGCATAAAATCTATTTAAAAAGTCCTATAATAAAAAATTACAGGTCCAAATTTATAGTCAGATTAATATACAAGCATCCTACAGTACAAAGTACAAATCATCGCTATTAAAATAAGATGCTGCTACAACATTACAAAGTTTTTCATGGGAATAGACAGGAAAAAATCTTTAGAATCTTTCTCTGAGGAACAGCACGGACACAGACATTTATATGTTGTGACTTATGATGAATTCGTCACTGATAGACGGTGTGAAGTGGCCAGTGGGCCATTGCTATTTCATTCTGTTCATGTGGAATTAGAAAGTAGTACATCTGGAAAAAGTTATTATTAAAAAATGATAATGGAATGCAAACAACTGTATAGATACTTAGGGTAATAAATCTTTAAAAGTTAAAATAGATATTTTCTGTAAATACTTTTATTAAAATAGTTTAAAATTTGTTATACAATTTCCTTTCAAATATTTGATGAAAAGTTTGTTGTGAACATATGGAATTTGTGTTATGATCTCGACAGGATGTCTTTGGAGGAAGAAATTGACATGTTGAAGGTACAGGCCAGTCAGGATGCCGCTACTCTACATGAGCTTAAGGTGGCTCTGGAGCAGGAGAGAGAAAGTAAGGAGGAGGTTTATCATTTTGTCAGTTTTAGGGAGAGATAGATGTATGTTTCAATAAACACTAGAAGAGAATCAGAAGATTAAGCTGATCAGTGTAAAGATCTGACATACCAACAATAGTGTAACCTTGAGAATCTGCAGAATGAACAGGGATGTAATGCATTTGTTATCCAAAGTCTTAAATAAAAATGTAAATGGACAGATTTTGCAACATTTTTATATGAAGATTTGAAATGTGCAATTGTGTGATTTCAGGTAGAAAGTATGACAAGAAAAAGGCTGGATATCAAACTCAGGAGAAATCTGACTTACAGGCGGAACTCACACTGACCAGATCAGAGGTAAAGATGTACACACATAAACCAAAGCTGGTCAGATCAAAATATCTTAGAGAACAAAATTAATTTTCATTTCTGACTTGTTCAACACAAGGGGAAAATTTATCATAATGAAATGACATTTCATCTAGTGAGAAGGTGGAAAAAACTTGATAGTACAGTTAACTTCAGTAACCCGAACACGGATATCTCAAATACCATGGATTTCTTGAACTGATTTAGAAGTCCCAACCACTTATTCCTTATGTATTTTACCATTGATACCTCAAATCCTCATATACCTCAAAGTTTTTCCTGAGTCCCATCAAGTTTGAGATAACAAGGTTTGACTGTATTATCAACAATCAAATTCAGGAAAAAAGTATATAATTCTTGCAAACTAATGTGTAACGAAGGCTTTGTATGTTGGTATTACTTTTTACAGGTTCAATCTAAATCTGTCAGACTGGATAAACTAGAGAGAGAGCTCAGGGAAAGTCAGTCAGAGAAGGAAGCTCTGTTAGAAGAAAGGAGGTCAGTGGACAACGGAGATGATATATATGATAGATGAATTATTAAATTTAGCTGCATGACATTTTTCACCTTGTGCATTACTAATACTTAATTATGTTTACATCTTAGCTCTGTCACTAATGTGAAGAGAAACCCTGGCACCATTTTTTTTGTTTTCAAAATAATTATAAACAAGTGGAAATGAAATTGTTTTTTCTCTTTGAAGGAATCTCAAATCTGAAATATTAGAAATGAAACAAGCAAATTCAAAACATCGAATGGAGACAGCAAATTTGAAGCGAGACATCAACAGGTGTGTATGAAATATTTGTATTTGTCCAAAGGGACATAACTCAGGCAATAGCTGAGATGTCTGAGCTAAATATATTTGTTTATATACACTAGACTGGAGAGAGAATTGGAGGAAGAAAAGCTTGCCAAACAATTCCAGGCCGTCAAAGAGAAGCTAAGCACAAAACAGACTAGGCCAAGGTCACGGAGAGCCGAAGTCAGAAACAAAAGCCAGGCATCTAAACGAGTAAGGATGTCATTTACTAAAGGAAAAATCTTTATCATCTACACTGGGGTTTTCTGTTCTTTTCATAGTTATAATCTTCTTAAACATGGTGACTCATGTAATTCTGTAGTTGTTGAACTACCAGTGTTTGTTTTTAAATGTAAGAAATTTTAAAGGATGAGTTAATGAAAAACAAAAATGGATAAATATACGCAGGTTTTAAAGACAACCCATTTAACCAATTTTAACTTGGAAGCTTTACACTGTGTAAGCAATATTTACTCCTAGCCTTGATGAATTTTATTATTCATATTTGTACTATATCTTTTTCTATGAATTTAAACTCATCTTTTACAAATTTATGATTTTTTTCTTTTTCCTGAAACAATTACTGTACCTGAAACAATTACTGTAATTTCCTGTTACAATTACTGGATTTCTATTGAGATGAAGACTACTATAATTTATCAAGATTAATACATTCAAAAAAGATTTTATTCTTTTTTGATTTTAATTAATTGCTTCTTTTATCAAAACAGTTTTTCCCCCCAGAAAACTTAAAACTGATAGATACAATAAATAATATGTACAAGTTATATTACCATATATTACGTACATTTTGTATATATAGATGCTTTGTCTCAGTAAGACATGATCTTTTAATATCAAGACTCTCAATCAGGTTGATATTGCTGGGGAAGAGGTAAAGTATCCAAAGGTGAAGGTCAGAAGTCATAGGTGAAGGACATGATGTGACAAATATATATATAATGTATACATGTATTATATATCAAAATATATCATACCCTTAGTAGGTCTATCTGAATTTACCCAGCATGTTTAACATAAGTAAAAAAAAATTTTATTTTACTTCACTATAAACCAAAAAAAAAAAAAAAGAAAAGAATAAGAGCAATCAGTTAGACCTACTACATTAATGTAACTGTGTTTGTCAGTTTGGATCCTAATTAATAACTGATATGCAAAACTGGAATTGCATGAGCTGGCTTACTGCTAACATATGTTCTACACATACAAAGGAAAATATTGAAGCAATATCTAAGTTTGGTTACTTGTTGGTTTGTGTATAATTTGATGAGTAGACATTATGCTTGTATTTGAGTTTTACAGCTTTATTTTATTAACTTACAGTACCAGAAAGCACTCAACAAAAGTATAGAGAAGATGAGGTCTGTCTTCCGTGATTTTGAAGATGAGGGATGGGAAGAGATACCAGAATCAGAAGAAATGTTAGTTATTTATAGTAATGTGCTAATTCCCAAAGTTCAGATAGGTTACTTCCTTCTAAGCTCACCTGAACAAGAAGCTCAAGTGAGCTTTTCTAATTTAAGTTTATTCTCAAAAATAATTTTTCTGTACTCAAGAATAGTTGCTAACAGTTGTCTATTCTCAAGACTAGTGTTCAACAGTTTGTCTTTTCTCAAGAGAAGTGGCTAGCTTACAGTTTGTTTATTCTCATAACAACTTTATTTTAATCCCAATCTTTTTGCAGTGATGAAGAAACGGAGAGTGATTCTCTGGGTCAGACCATTGTGGACATATCCCAGTCACAGACCACGCCCCCTAGTGATGAGAGTATGGATCACAGACATACAGTAAGAGAAAAAACTTTTATAAACTGTAGTTCTGGAATTCTTAATTACCGGTACTGTACATGGAAAGGAATGTTATCAAACTAAGGCCAAAATAAAATTATTGTTTGTTTAGAATTGCCTCCCGCCACATTGAAATGACCCCTCCTTGAAAAGTTTTATGACCAAAAATTAGAAGATATTTTCTTATTCAGTCAATTCTTGGCCTGCTACCACATTGCCACCCAATCACTTAATAAGTGTAGAATCTAAGCAAAACTGGGTTCCTGGTTGATGGGAGATACCCTTTACAAAAAGGCAGAAAATAATGTGTTCATTCCTTATTGAGATTTTTATCATCAATTTTTAATTCAACTTTAATTTTGAAAAAAAAAATAATAATTTCCCTCCCTACCTCCTGGGTCTGAAACCTCCCAGGCGGCAATTCCAAACAAACAATTTTTTAAGGATGGCCTAACATAAGATAATAAATTTTCATATACAAATACTTCCAACTGAAATACATAATTATACAAGCTTTTAAAACTAAGTAATTTTTCATTTTATGATTAGCACTGTCATAAACTTCAGAGTAAATTTCTGTCATTTTTTCTGTATGTATAATTATGCTCTATAGATTAAAAGAAGCCTCAGACCTATGAGTTTTAAGATGTCTTCTTTAAGAAACAGACGAGGTGGAATAAGAAATCTACATCATCGTAACCGAGGTATTTCACGTCCATATGCAACCAGAGTAACCGACAATAAAAAAGGTACTTTTGATTTGAAGCTATATTTAATCCATTATTTTTTAAATTGTTGAAAAAAAGTGTGAATTACCATATACTGTGTGAAAGTACCACATTGATTTAAAATGTAAGACTATACTTTTGTTCTTGACTGTGTTATTAATTAGATACATCTGATGTTGTAGTTACACTCAGGGAAGTAGGTACATCTCCATTAAAAGCAACAGTCCAGGAATTCACTCCCTCCCCAAGGATCCAAGAGCAACGAGCTTATGAACAGAGAGTACAAGCTAGCAACCAGCTTGCACGACAAGCTAAACAGCTCAAACAGCGTGTAGGCTACCTCACACAGCAAGTAAGGGGAAGTTATTCTATTGATAAAGATGAATTCACAAGTAGCCTCTCTTCTCTTGGGTAGTTAGATTGCACAAGTTTCTGTCTATTATAGTCTTCATAAAAACACTGCCATTTGTATAAATAATGCTCTATCTCTTAGCATGTGTGGGTTACTTTAAGATGTAGATTCACACTGCTAACATGATTATATATGTATTCTTAGTTTACTTTATGCATATACAAGAATTTCAACTTTCAGGAGATGTTTTTAAGTAGTTTTTAGCTCACCTGAGCCGAAGGCTCAAGTGAGCTTTTCTGATCACATTTTGTCTGTAGTCCGTCTGTCTGTCTAGCTGTCTGTCTGTCTGTCCGTCCGTCCGTCTGTAAACTTTTCACATTTTCGACTTCTTCTCAAGAACCACTGGGCCAATTTCAACCAAACTTGCCACAAAGTATCCTTGGGTGAAGGGGATTCAAGTTTGTACAAATGAAGGGCCACGCCCTCTTTCAAGGGGAGATAATGAAGAATTAGTGAAAAATTAGTAGCATCTTTTAAAAATCTTCTTCTCAAGAACCACAAAGCCAGGGAAGATGAAACTCATGTGGAAGCATCCTCAGGTAGTGTAGATTCAAGTTTGTTCAAATCATGACCCCCGGGGGTAGGGTGGGGCCACAGTGGAGGATCAAAGTTTTACATAGAAATATATAGGAAAAACCTTTAAAAATCTTCTTCTCAAGAACAGCAAAGCCATGATGAGTCATATTTATATGGAAGCATCCTCAGGTAGTGTAGATTCAAGTTTGTTCAAATCATGACCCCCGGGGGTAGAGCGGGGCCACAATGGAGGATCAAAGTTTTACATAGAAATATATAGGAAAAACCTTTAAAAATCTTCTTCTCAATACCAGCAAAGCCATGATGAGTCATATTTATATGGAAGCATCCTCAGGTAGTGTAGATTCAAATTTGTTCAAATCATGACCCCCGGGGGTAGAGCGGGGCCACAATGGAGGATCAAAGTTTTACATAGAAATATATAGGAAAAACCTTTAAAAATCTTCTTCTCAATAACAGCAAAGCCCTAATTGGTCATATTTATATGAAAGCATCCTCAGGTAGTGAAGATTCAAGTTTGTTCAAATCATGACCCCCCAGGGGTAGGGCGGGGCCACAATGGAGGATCAAAGTTTTACATAGAAATATATAGGAAAAATCTTTAAATATCTTCTTCTCAGGAACAGCAAAGCCCTGATTGATCATATTTATGTGGAAGTGTCCTCAGGTAGTGTAGATTCAAGTTTGTTCAAATCATGACCCACTGGGGTAGGGTGGGGCCACGATGGAGGATAAAAGTCTAAAATAGAAATATATAGGAAGATATGTTCTGATGAAGAACTGCAAAGCCATGATTAGTCATTTTGATATGGAAGCATCCTCAGGTAGTGTAGATTCAAGTTTGTTAAAATGATGACCCCAGGGGATAGGGATGGGCCATAATGAGGGATCAAAAATTTTACATAGGAACATATAGGAAAATATCTTCTCAAGAACTGAAAATCATGTTTAGTCATTTTGATATGGAAGCATCCTCAGGTAGTGTAAATTCAATTTTGTTCAAATGATGACCTCTGAGGGTAGGATGGGGCCCAATAAGGGGATCGAAAGTTTTACATAGGAACATATAGAAAAAAATTTCTTCTCAAGAACAGAAAAGCTATGTTTAGTCATATTGATATGGAAGCATCCTCAGGTAGTGTAGATTCAAGTTTGTTCAAATGATGACCCCTGGGATAGGGAGGAGCCACAATGGGGGATCATATTTTTACAGAGGAATATATGGGAATTTTTTTTAAAAATCTTCTCAAGTACAACAAAGCCATTTGTTAAAACAAATTATATATTGACATGGAAGCATCATCAGGTAGTTTAAAATTCAAGCCCCCCCCCCCCCCCCCCCCCCCCCCGTAATCTTTTCAATACTGAACTGATTTGTGCTTTTGCCTTGCCAATGTGCTCAGGTGAGCGATGTGGCCCATGGGCCTCTTGTTAAATATGCAAACTCCCTCATGTATTCTTCATATACATCTTGTTAGACTCATTTTTTTCATGGATAACTAAATGCTCCCTACCTCAATAGGTTGGGTCTCTAACATTTTCAGTAAGTATTGTGTGAGGCAAACTTTTACAAGGGGTAATATGCAACCTGGATTCTGACTATTTAGTACTTAACAGATATTTTCTTCCATATTTACGTGATTTGTGGAATTTTTAAAACAAATGGATTCCTTTTGGTGTTGGTATAGTAAATATTGTAGATAGTGACTACAGTACTGCTGAACTAATGATATAATCCTTGCATTTTTAATTCTTCTAAGAACAGATTTTTCTAACTCACCTCTCCATTTACTTGAACCCTATACGTGTATCTTTTTTGCTTTTTACAAGCATGTGTAAGATTTCTTGTTCATCTTTTATTTTGCATAACTATTAAAATAAAAAACATTTATTGTATATTCATTACACTGTATGAACACTGAAGATATTAGGTAAAAATCTACAACCATTTTCCACAATGAATTTCAGTGGGAACAGTTTCTTCTGGAAAAAAATATTTTTAAGAATTTTCTGATTTGCAGATCACCACTCTTCGAGAATCTCGAGGTGCTGCTGTGAAGGGATTAGAACAACAGAAGGAAGTGAACCAACAGCTGCAAGCTGACCTAAATCTGGCCAATCAGAGGCTGAGAATGGCTAAACAGAACATCCAGGTCAGTCACTATAAGGACAGTAGTGAAATATCTTATATTATAATACCTAAGAATATATAGGAATGTTCTGAAATCATTCTACATTTATTTATTACCTTCAGAAACTGACAACTGACATGGACAAGGTTTTACAAGAGAAGGCTACTCTAGAGGCCCAGATAGTGGAGGAGAATCGTCACACAACAGCTACAGACAAACATACAGAACAGGACTGGAAAATCCTCGAGTCCAGACTCAAAGTAGGTCAACAGTGTTAAAACTGGTCATTTTACATCAAGGTCAATAATTTATAAATTTATCTACTGACCTCACAGATTAGTTATTAAATAATTAACTTCACGACATATGTGAATTTACTTATTTATTAGGTTTATAGAGTAAGAAATGCTGTTTAATTTTATAGGCATCTTCCAATGAGCTGTGTAGACAGTCCAATCAGGCCAGACAGCTAAAACAAGAAAACGAACAACAACAGGAACAAATCAGGACTCTGCAGGAAAAGTACACTCATCATTTCTAAATTTCTTCGTCCAAAAACTTTGATTTTTCTTGAATGTTATTCAACTCAGTAATTATTTTATGCCTAATACTTTCATCAAAGAGATTGCACATGACCCCACATTTGTCGATCCAACTTTCTGTATTTATTTACTAAGTTAAAAGATATTTAAATGCGAGTATAACTTACTGAGAATTGATTTCTTAGAATAAGCCGAGTGGAGAGAGACAATAATCAGAAGAGGACACTACTAGAGGACCAGAGAGTCAAGTTAAAACTGGCTCAAACGAATGCCAAGTCTGAACAAAATGCAAATGTGAGCATCACCAGTGTACTTATACTCTACTACAGGGAAATTCTGCCCCCTCCTTATGCCCCTTTTGCCACCATTTTCAGTGGGCAATTCAAAAATGGGTTTGAATTCAACAGACAGAGTTATCTCTCTTTTAACACAAAATCATTTGCAAGTATGATAGGGTGTAAATAATTTGGGGCAAAATAACCATGTGTACAGTATCTTCCTCAAAGGTCTAGCCTTAAGTAACAATCATAATCTGATGCTCATGTTTTAGCTAAGTTGAAAGTAAAATGGATTTGATAGTTTATAACAATGTTGATTTACAGGAAGAAATGGAGACAAGAATTAAACTGATTCAAGACACCAGTGATCGACTCAAGATACAGGTAAGATTCTGTGCAGTTAAATTGCTTAGGGTCATACATGTGTTTATTCAAACAACAATTTTTGTATGAGTCTGTCTCCAAAGAATTTATAGGAGATAAAAATTTATGTTAGATAGATGAGGATTTTCATAAATTTCATATATGTTATACCTCAGGTGGAGTCCTACAAGAAGCGACTGTCAGCAGTCACCAGAGAAAAGAGGGAGTATGAAGAAAGATTCCTTAAAGTTAATGCAGAACTGGAGAAAAAGGTCTGTGTCTGAAATTAATTTTGTTTAATGATGTACACATTTTTTATGTGTATCTGTTAGGTAAGTCTCTGTTGTATTTTCAGAACAAGCATTTTCTGGAGAGTCAGACTAGGAGAATGGAGCTGGAGTCTGCTGTGGGTGATCTAGAGAACACAGCTCAGCAGCAACTCCGTGGACTGGCAGCACAGAGTGAGGCAGCCATTGAAGCAGCTCAAAGGAAGCTCAGTGAGGCCTACTACACAATACAGCAATACCAACAGTTTGTCAAGGTTTGTCTCTCAACACACTACACCATACAGCAATACCAACAGTTTGTCAAGGTTTGTCTCTCAACACACTACACCAAACAGCAATACCAACAGTTTGTCAAGGTTTGTCTCTCAACACACTACACCATACAGCAATACCAACAGTTTGTCAAGGTTTGTCTCTTAACACACTACACCATACAGCAATACCAACAGTTTGTCAACATTTGTCTCTTAGCACACTACACCATACAGCAATACCAACAGTTTGTCAAGGTTTGTCTCTCAACACACTACACCATACAGCAATACCAACAGTTTGTCAAGGTTTGCCTCTCAACACACTACACCATACAGCAATACCAACAGTTTGTCAAGGTTTGTCTCTTAACACACTACACCATACAGCAATACCAACAGTTTGTCTTTCAACACACTACATCATACAGCAATACCAACAGTTCGTCAAGGCCTGTTTTGTTACTCACTTGAATATTTGTTTTTTACATGTACACTCTTAATGTCAATTCAGTCAGAAGCTTGTGCTTTAGAAATTATTTATAACACTTTTCTTTAAATAACATTTTTAATTTATCTTTTTTGTATGTAAAAATAATCATAACTAAACCTGTATCTCAAAATTTAGGGAACAAAGGAAATAGCTTTTCAATTTAAACACTTAAAAAAACAACACATTTATTCAAGAGAGAATCTTAAATGTTTTGTCATTCATTGACCAGAGCTTGGGACATGAGTTAATAAAGAGACTAAATCAATCCCGATTCCACTTAAAAGAGACCTTAAGTCATCGAGAGAAAGAAAGTCAGCAAAGTCAAGTCAATGCTTCACTGCAGAGGGCCCAGGCAATGGCCAAAGATATACTGAATTTAAGCCAGTCAGATCTTGAGGATATCATGAGTGCTGATGGTGACCCAGAGAGAATGGTAAGTCCTGAATAGATCTTAATACAGGTTTAAAGGTGACCCAGAGAGAATGGTAAATACTAACTAGATCGTACAACAGATTTGATGGTGACAGAGAGAGAATGGTAAGTACTGACTAGATACCCAGAGAGAATGGTAAGTACAGACTAGATCTTAGTACAGATTTGATGGTGACCCAGAGAGAATGGTAAGTACTGACTCCATACCCAGAGAGAATGGTAAGTACTGACTTGATCTTAGGGTAGAACCTATGTTGGAAAAGTCTTTGTCAAAAGGTTTTTAAACTTCTGAAAATGATAAATTAGCACTCTCTTATCAATCAGTTAAAAATATATGGTATGTTTCCTAGTTATTAAATGTAGTGCATCCTGTGCAACTTGGAATGATAATTTTACACTGCGACTACCTATTTTCAGCATTTTTTTAGGGGTACTGGTCATAAAGAGAATATAGAAAATCACAAAAATACTTCTTCAAACATTGTCGTTTATAGACTTTATTAACTGAACCGTATTAAGCAATATTATTCAAGAATAAATTCTTTTTTATTCAATTGGCATAAAAGATTAAGTCCACATTTCACCGAATATAGGCAAATGTACTCATATTTTTTTAGTCAATTTACAACCTGAATTTGTAATAATTTTTCAAGTCTTTGTCAGAATGTTTTCAATTTTAATATGATGAAGAATATACCCAAATAATTAGAAAAAGTGATTAAAATATACACCTTTCACTGCAAACTAATGAGAGATGCTCTATGTATCAATGCTTCTTTTGTTGACCTTTTTGCACTTACACAGGATTTAATTATTAAATGACTGTTTAGGGGTTATGTTCAGATTTACAATGTGAATATTTATCAAAACAATGTAATTTTTTTTTAATTTAAAAAGATAATATTTAAGGAAAATTCAGACCCATTTCATCAAGATATTGTACTCTTTAGATTTCTTAGGATTTTTGCATTCCTTCAAAATAATTGCATGCCATTCACATTATCACAGTTGTGCAACTTCATTACATGAGAAAGTCTTTGATTAAAGCTGTAAAGTACAGGAAAAAGTAACATTAAATTAATTATAACTTCATAATGGATCTAGCACCAAAAGGACAGACTAAACTCATTTAGTCGATATGACTTCATATGACATAGGTTCTCTGTTAACACAGGTTTGTAGACTGATAAATATTAGGTGCTTTATCTATTTTTAATCTTTGGTTTCTTTTTAAAAGGAGCAGGATATTGACACAGACAAAAAGCGGGACAAACGATGGAGCAAGAAATGTGAAAAGTTAATGAACACAAAGGTAGAAATTCAAGTATTAATTATACACATTTTGTTATGGAAGAGTAATTTTAATGTCCCACCATAAAGCACAGAGTATATTGTGAGAAAGATTCATTGATACATGTAGCTCATGTCCAACTTGCAGTCTGAGAACTTTAATGGACCTGTCTATTGCTATTTAAATAAGACTCCTTACTTATTTCAAAATGCTACTCCTGAAATTCTTTTAAAAAGCTGCTCCTCTTTGTGTTAATGTTGGTACATATGTGAGAAAGTAAGTCTTTATCAGTAGGAGAATAATTTATGTGCTGACTTTCTTCAAAATATTTTAAGTCAAAACCAGTAAAGCTACATTCTTATCAGAGACGACTGCTTGGATACACAATAGTTACACATGAATTCTTTGATAAATACATGTATACATTTATTCGTTTTTTGTAGGAGGACTTTGTAAGTCCATTAGTGGACTTGTTTGTTCAGAAAATGGAGGAAATGTGTGAGCTGTCATCCAAGCTCCAGGCAGCATGATAACTTATGGACTGATCACTGTGATATTCTACTTAATATGACTGAACCTTGTTCACTGTGATATTTTGTTGAACATTGCATTTATGAAGGATTAAGAGGGTTTATAAGTTAGAAAAACACATCCAAAAGAGTGTAGTGCTAACCATTCTATCAAGGTGCAAATCAGCATATATAATAGTCTCCTTGCTATTAATAGGTCAGTAATTGATGAACTTGAATCTAGGAAAGCTGTGCTGTACATGGCGTGAATTATGTTATAACCATGTTGATTGTTAGTGTGAGGAAGATGTTGATTGGTGGTGGTGGGGGGGGGGGGGGGGGGGGGGTTGTGTCACTTAGGTTAGAGAGTAAAATGGTGTAGGAGTTGTTTGTCATTAACTCATTGACTTGTAATGCTGTGGTAGGGTATTAGTTCATTGAGTAAAACACTGAGGGAGGGCATTTCCAGAATATTATTTGTTAATTTACTAGAATGATGAAGTAGGAAATTACCAAATGTCATTAACTTTGACTAAAATGTAAAGGAGAGAATAACCATAAAATCATTAACTGTGACTGGTGTTGATAGGGAGAATTACCAGAATGTCATTGACAGGAGAATTAATGTAAACTGTAACAAAATTTTCCTTAATGCTGTTTTTTTTCCCAACAGAATTTTACATTTTTATATGTTAGCAATATTTTCATTCCATAGGCAAAAAATCCTGATTTCTCTGTTGTAGTCAAACTTGTGAGGGTAGTTGGTTTATGGTATTAGAGAACCGTTAGTTCATAGATAAGAATGCTGAAGAAAAGAATTAAAAGAAATTCATGAGCAAATTTACAGGTTTATTGAGCCATTTGTCACTGGATCATAGGCTAGATGTTGGTGGGATCAAATTAGGATGCATATGTTTTTTTGCAATGTTCCAGAATAAAATGTGAAAAGTTTTACAGATAAAAGTTATTCCGTCCAAAAACATGATCTTCAGTATGTGGCTTTGTGCACTGTTATGTATGTAATGCCAGCGCTGGTACATGTAATTATATGATGAATTATACTTGTGATTACCAGAACATGATCTACAGAATCCATTTAACCATTCCAAGTGAAAACATAGCACAGGTTTCTTATTTTATCTATATATATATTTTTTTTTCTTTGTAATAAAATTTTAAGAAAAAATATTGTGTGTCATGAAATCTGCTACAACTTTATTTATATAGAGGAACACAACATTTTAATGTGTATAGAGATTACATTCTAGTATGTTTACCAGAAAGTAAATTATCCTTGTCTGCAGTGCACCAAGTGTCATTAAATTTCTGAGGAATGACTTTTCCTTGATCAACTTATTGATTTGTCTCAAAGTCACTTCAAATAATAAGATAGCACTTTGCAACAACCAGTCCCAGATTTTTTTCCCTGGGAAGAAGGGGTAGGGGGTGTCAAGCAACCCAGTACAGCAGCAATATGCTGAAAATTAAATGAAGGGGAAATAGGCCAGAAAGAAAAAAAGTTGACTCCCACACGTTATGAATCGCAGGCCCATAGGAAGCAATTTCACTTCGAGGGGGCACAACCATACATTTTCAGTTGGGGGAGGGGGGGGGGGGGGTACTATCAACTACCGAAATTTCTTGACAAGAAAAAAAAATGGTCATCAGACAGACGTTATTATTGAGGGGGGCACAAGCATATAGTAGCTATGTTTTCTATAGTATTCTATATATCGGCAAAATTATTGGGGGGACACGCCCCCCGTGCCTCCCCCCTCCCCCGTTTCCTACGGCCATGAATCGTGAAACCAAAAAAAAAACTAGCTCCTTCATTCTTAAGTCTAACAGTTTATAGATTTAAAAATTAAATCATCACCTAGTCTGAAAGACCATTGAGCTCATTTTTTTTAGATTAAAAAAATCGCGTTATGTTTATTCGCGAAACTTCCGAGTTAAATAGTGTGTTAATTTCGTGTTGTATCTCGTGACTTTCGCTTTTATTCAATATTCGTGAAGTTTTCGCGATACAACGCATAAATGCAAATCGAATGATCTCTACAGTGGTGAATTTACGCACGCCTTCCCTTTTTCATTTCCAGATTTTATTTGCAATGTATTTTAGTACAAAATTCTTACTACATGTATTTTATATCCTGTTCACAAGGAGAGTTTTCAATTTACTCGTAATTTGGGGAAAATTTTGACAAAACACCTGCAAAACTTTGACCAGCAAAGAAAGGTTTACTAATTTGTCCAAATGCGAAAATCCTATTTGATTTAACCATATTTTAATAAAAATTCAATAAAATGTTTAGACTACATTACAGGCCCATAGGAAGCAATTTCTGAGGGGGCACAACCATAGATTTTCAGTTGGGGGTACTATCAACTACCAAAATTCCTTGACAAGCCAAAAAACATGTCATCAGACGTAATTATTGAAGGGGTACAAGCATATATATATAGTAGCTATGTTTTCCGTAGTATCTTATATATTAGCAAAATTATTGGGGGGGGGGGGGGGGGCACGCCTCCCGTGCCCCCCCCCCCCGGTTCCTACGGCCATGCATTAACAGCAAAAGAATATCTTTGGGAAAAAGTAGGGGGTAGAGAACGCGGGTCACTGCCATCTCCCCACTCCCACCCCGATACTATTACCTTGATATCAGAGAGACCAAAATTCAAAATAACTTGTGAAAAACAAAAAGAAATTAAACATAGATGGAATTGACTACAAAGCTCCGTGTTTTCATATAACTGTGAAAGTACGTTTTCAAGATATGACCAATGCAAGACGAAATAAACGCATCTATTTCTTCACTTGTTGAGAGACAAAAGTAGATTAACCAGATTTCCGATGCCTTGCACAATCGGAAGGTGTCGGGGACGAGGTTAATAGGATTTTAGGGCCTCACAGGGCACAACCCATTTAGTCTGTATATGTATGAAAGTGTGTCGAGATTTCAGGGCAGAAGAAAAGGTCACAGTACTTTAAGTTTCTGTATTCTTCGATGAGTACATTTCGAACACAAAGATATTTGTTATACCTTTTAAAAATTGTTTTCTGTAGAAATCTAATCTTTTAAAAGTCTAACATTTCCAATGTTTTACTGAGCGGTCCAAAACAAAATCGATGTTGGACAGCTGAGTTAGATATTGCAATCTAATTAAAACTATGGAACCTTTACGCTCCAGTATTTTGTTATGTCGCTGTAAGGATTTTAATTAGATTGGATATATTGGACCTGTCGATGAGATATAGGACTGCAATGACGTTTTTACGACACACTGTAGGCGGGATCAGCTGTGGCAAACATGGAATTCAGCGCAAGATGTGTCAAAATAAAAAGTATAACAAAACATTTGAGTTCGAGGGCACCATGCGTTTTGTCGGAACCAAGAACCAAACAGTTTGGTTCGAGGGGTCGACAAAACTCGTATTGCCCAAGAACCCAGTCAGTAAATGTACAATATCGATCAATACTTTATCCAAATATTTTCCCTTTGTCCTTACTCCCCCGCGAAAAGTTACTGACCTCAATTCAATGATGGTTAAATCACCTGTCACATAACCCGAGGTCACATAACCCGAGGTCTTTTATTAAGAAGAGTAAACACTATCGGGTATAAATGTATAAACTCCGGTGAGTAGCTGGGTCACTCTCTCGGACATCAACGTCAGGGTAAGTAACTGTGAATCATCAACCCCTGGGGACCCCTGTAATCTTCAATCTTATTACCGAGGACTGACCATTATTTAGCTGTAAGGCATAATTCAATTTATTCCGTGTGCGCGTGAAATCTAGGGTTCGTTTAATACAGAGGAATGTGGAGACTGATATCTGTTGTCAAGTAAACTCTCCATTTCGCAATGAAAGTTAAGTGTATACATGTTGACAAATCCTCCTGCAGGTATCCGGACATTACAGTTCATCCCGGATTATAAATATAGGGACAATTCACAGTATCCATAAGTCAACTATATCTTGCAGGTATAATTAACTAAAGATGGCAGACAAACAGTGGCAATCGCCAGTTCAGGTGCAGCCCAGACAAGGTGAGAATCATTCAGCTACATCTGTGCGGGGAAGGGGGTGCGCGTTATGTTTACAAAGGCAATAATAAATAGTACATTACCATAATTATCTCACTTTCAGAGTTTTTAGCTCACCTGAGCCGAAGGCTCAAGTGAGCTTTTCTGATCAAAATTTGTCCGTTGTCTGTCGTTGTCGTCGGTGTCGTCGTCGTCATTGTAAACTTTTCACAATTTCATCTTCTTCTCCAGAACTACTGGGCCAATTTCAACCAAACTTGCCACAAAGTATCCTTGGGTGAAGGGGATTCAAATTTGTTCAAATGAAGGGCCACGCCCTCTTTCAAGGGGAGATAATAAAGAATTAGTGAAAAATTAATAGCATCTTTTAAAAATCTTTTTCTCAAGAACCAGAGGGCCAGGAAAGATGAAACTCATGTGGAAGCATCCTCAGGTAGTGTAGATCCAAGTTTGTTCAAATCATGGCAGGGCCACAATGGAGGATCAAAGTTTTACATAGAAATATATAGGAAAAACCTTTAAAAATCTTCTTCTCAAGAACAGCAAAGCCATGATGAGTCATATTTATATGGAAGCATCCTCAGGTAGTGTAAATTCAAGTTTGTTCAAATCATGACCCCCGGGGGAAGGGCAGGGCCACAAAGGAGGATCAAAGTTTTACATAGATACATGTATATGTAGGAAAAACCTTAAAAAATCTTCTCAGGAACAGCAGAGCCATGATGAGTCATATTTATATGAAAGCATCCTCAGGTAGTGTAGATTCAAGTTTGTTCAAATAATTACCCCCAGGGGTAGGGCGGGGCCACAATGGAGGATCAAAGTTTTACATAGTAATATATAGGAAAAATCTTTAAAAATCTTCTTCTAAAGAACAGCAAAGCCATGATGAGTCATTTATATGGAAGCAACCTCAGGTAGTGTAGATTCAAGTTTGATCAAATCATGACCCCGGGGGTAGGGTGGGGCCACAATGGAGGATCAAAGTCTTAAATAGAAATATATAGGAAAATTTCTTCTTCTGAAGAACTGCAAAGCCATGATTAGTCATTTTGATTTGGAAGCATCCTCAGGTAGTGTAGATTCAAGTTTGTTAAAATGATGACCCCCAGTGATAAGGTCGGGCCACAATGCAGGATCAAAAATTTTACATAAGAACATATAGTAAAAATATTTCTTCTCAAAAACAGAAAAGTTATGTTTAGTCATATTGATATGGAAGCATCCTCAGGTAGTGTAGATTCAAGTTTGTTCAAATGATGACCCCTGGGATAGGGAGGAGCCACAATGGGGGATCAAATGTTTACAAAGGAATATATGGGAAAAATTTTTTTTTTAAATCTTCTCAAGTACAACAAAGCCATTTGTTATATTGACATGGAAGCATCGTCAGGTAGTTTAAAATTCAAGCCCCCCCCCCCCATAATCTTTTCAATACTGAACTGATTTGTGCTTTTGCCAAGCCAATGTGCTCAGGTGAGCGATGTGGCCCATGGGCCTCTTGTTCTTTATGTTTTAGGAACAGAATGGATGGCCACACCCCAGTCTGTCACCGGAATACCTCAGGGACTTGAATACCTCAGTGCTTTGGATCAAATTATTGTCAAACAGAGGGTAGAACTATTGGAAGGTAGACAAACATTTTCTTTTTGAATGTTACATAAAGAGAACGTAGATCAAGGTATTGGATTTACCCGTATTTTATACTTATGCTATTTTCAATGGACCAGTGCTGTTATTCAGAACCAATTCAATTTATTGACATCACCGTGTTGGTATACAGTCAAAATAAGAAATCAAAAGGCAGACAACAGAAAAAAAGAAAAATATTATAACATCAATTTTACACAATTCCTTATAGTCCCTGGATTTGTTTTCTATGCATAAAGCATTTATTTAAGTAGTTACATAAACGTTTTTGTAGTATTATAATCACATGGGTTAACAATTTCTTGAATGGGATTAGTACGACAGTAAACCGGTAATTTATCATAAAAAATATCACAATATTGAAATCGAAGATTGTCATACACGGGACAGTAAGGTACCAAATTTTATTCACATTACCCTTATTTGACTATACCGCAACAAAAAGTCGGGGAAGGGGGAGAGGAACGACCTTTCAATGAACATTTTCAATAGTAACAAGCTTTGTTTGGAAAAAAGTCCCCCCCCCCCCCCGATGGTACGTGCCTGTACACATCCAGAAAAAACAGTTACATTTATATTGCACAGCATCTAAAGCATGATTAATGGTAAGAATTCCAATTTGCATTAACCGTGCAAGTTTGATCTAGATAGTGCTTACGGTTACCTAAGGATAGACCTGCTCCAAAATCTTGAAAAATATTTAGGTGCAAGGATGTATCATCCCTGCGATTTTGGTCCAGATACTTGTTACTTTGTAAGGCTTATAGTAACACTTGGAAAATTGACCTACTCCAAAAGTAACTTGACGCTGGTGGTAAACATAACACATACCTGTGTAGCTCCGTTGAGGTGGGCCAAAAGAAATGTTGAGTACCTCTAAAAATTAAGGATAATTTTGTTGGAAGAAAAGTGATAAATGGAAAGAGAGGGGCGGGGATGATACATGTAATACCACACCCGAGCTAATTATAACATTAATTCTTTATCTAAAAGTCCTGTTTTACAATTTAGTTATAACTGGATTTGAAACCAAGAACAAATACGACGTATTGAACAGCGTTGGACAACAATGTTACTTCGCTCAAGAAGGTCTGTATCAAAATTACTGGGCCAAAATAAAAAAAAAAAATACCTTTGTTTCCCCTAACACGACCGACCCACTTAAATCGAGCCGACTGAAAAGTTTTTTTTTTTGATAAGATTATTTAAATATATTTTTTTTATTGTTTATCAAATTTATTAAATACAATTTCATCAAAAACCGTTTTTTATCAGAACGGCGGCTTTTGTTTTACTCTCATTTGGTGCCGACAACATATGGCCACGGAGGGTTAGTTCGTGTTATAAAACAATGGTGATGTATCAATCTTATTAAATCTTTAACTTATTAGAATCCTACACTCTTGAGACATCTTGTGAATTAATGTACCATGACTAAAGAGTGTTAAAATGGTATTTAAAAAATTAACATACTTAGTAAGCATAGCAAAGCCTGCCTCATGAGTAGATGAGGGGCGCTCGTTGTGAATAGATATCAATAAATTTCACTGCATTTGATTTAATTGTTTCGATCTAATAAACAGTTCATGTAAGATCCTATTTTTACTACATAGGACCATAGGAGTTGTAAATATGTCTTTGTATGATTAATTCATTTGATAAATATAATTCAGATGTCGTTTCTTTATTCCTTTTATTTATGGGGTATTGACTCCGTGACTATAAAATTAGATATATGAAACTTTAATCATTTTAGATATGGTTTGGTTGAATTATATATTGTTTATACATGTACATGTACACTATTTCCAAATAGTGTTGAAATCTTTGAAATTTGCTTATGGTACGGCTTCCTGAGACAGCCAGTTTATTTTGCTTTAGTTAGGCCCTTGAAAACAGGTTGTTTTTTGCTTTTTAAAATTTGTTGGGCCGGGGGAAGGCTCCTAATTTAGACTTTTACTCGGCACTTATGGCCTTTGATCATTAAGCATCAGTAAGGGATCTTTTACCTGCCATCTACATGCATACTCCGACACTGGACCAACGTTTTTTATGGTCTTTTTCCACTGACCAGTCTGCAAGTCCCACGTCTGGACCTGTGACTTAGAATTAGCTCCCGAATTACGTCGTGACTCCAAAACGAAACACTAGAATCACTGTGCCACGTGAGGCCCTTGACATTTTGTCTGTGTAAGTACTCAAAGATGATAGTAGGTTTGAAAAATGTACTCAAATGTCCGATGGTTCAGTATTTGCGAATCTTGTGTTTTTTTGTAAATATTCAATTTCAATAAATTTACGCTGGCCTGAGATATTTTACAAGTTCAAATGAATAATATTTGTGAATTAATTTACCATACATGTTGCTTCATTTGTATGATATAGGTTTTAAATTGGTTTCTTTTGTTCTTTCTTATTTATAAAGATATTATTCAAATTTTCAGAATGTATTCCCAAACCTGCTGTCAGAAAAAAAAATTTACCTACCTACCGACCCAACTTGAGATTTTTGGGTCGGGTTAGGGGAAACAAAGATATTTTTAATGATGGCCCTGTCTGTAAATTTGACATTTTATTAACTTGATAATGAAACACTACAATTATTTTATTAATTACTTTATTTTATTAAGAGTCGGAGTGCTGTCACAGAATTTGCTGTGGATCAAACAGAGAGTATGTGATACACATATCGGACAACATGGGCCAGGTCAGAATAAGTTTTCTACATATTCTTAGAGACAGGTTGTGTACATATTTGTCACTTTCATGATATAACGCTATATTTTGACACGACAACACAAACGATCAGTATATGATCAGTATAAATGTGTGTAAATCTCTATTTTGAAGACACTTTCGATTTCGTTCAAAGAGTTCTTGCTTTACAAACCACAGATTCAAAATGTTCTTTTATAGATGTGTACAAATCATTCAGTTAATTCTGTACTAAAAGTGGAAGAATTTTATTTTACTAGACAAGATTTTTCTTGGTTACGACTACAGAGGCCCAGTTTGGATTTGCCACCAGCGAATCCCCCCTTTTCTTCTCAAACTGAATTCAAATGCAGCATATCAAAAACAATAGCAACAAGCTTCATTTAAAGGATATTTTCGCGTCTGTAAATGCAGAACACACCCATTCCTGGATCCATTCGTTCCAGGAAGTGACAATATAAAAGTACACGTATTTGTGTTTATCTGGGTCCAGTGTATACCCGACATTTTTAAGGAAATAGAAATAAATCCATAATGAAGGCTACATCTGATACTTTAAGGAGGTGATGAGGGTCCGCCATGACTTTGTCTGCTGTGTTGGATGTTGCTGGTGTGCAACCGACTCTTCCTGTGGTTATGAAGTCCAGATCGAGGCTCCAGTTGGAAATATAATCGGCTATGCCAAACAACAGTGAGCAGAACTCTCTTTATTATCGATTTTCTATACATTTTAACGATAGAACGTTCTATCTAATATATATATATATATATATATATATATATATATATATATATATATATATATATATATATATATATATATATATATATATATATATATATATAATATATATATTTAGCATGCTAACGAAATCTGTTCTTTCCTGTTCATTTTTCACAGAACTTCAAAATGGAAGCCACATTTCCGTGTGTTCGATGCTAACCGTCAGCCATTGTACGTCGTCCGAGGACCCTGCTGCGGTTGCCAGGCTATTTGTTGCACAGATGATGTCAATTTTCCTGTATGTAAAATCGAGGAAAATATTTAAACAATAAAATACTTTCATTGGTTGTTAGTATGGGAATTGATGTTGCAGCTGTTGCATAAGCAGGTTATGCAACGTTAATTTCCGTTCTAACAAAGAAATGTTCCATTAAAAGTTTAAATCTAAAGTTTTAACTTATCTTTAACTATCTAGGTAGTTATAGATAAGTTTAAACTTTAGATTTAAACTTTAAATGTAACATTTGTATCTTTACAAATAATCAAATAAAGTAGAATTAAGTATGGTATTTTTGTAATGTATGTCATTCTATGTTTCATTGATGGAAGAGCCGCTACTCAAGAAATCTATACTGGTGACTTGCTTAGCGGCGTTTACTGTCTGATAAACGACAGAGGTTTTCATAAGAAATAAAGGGGGTAATATTCAGTGGATGTAAATATATATCATTAAAATTCAATTATTCTGAATATTTTTTACAGAGAAATCTGTTATTTAAATTTCAAATACATGTATTCTGAATAGTTTTTGTGCTCTACTGGTCTTTGAAGAGCTTATGCGATAGTAAGGTGTCCGTCTGTCTGTCTAGCTGTCTGTTATCATTTTTTTTAATGCACTCCTCCTACAGTTTTGATCCAATTTCATTATAACTTGGTACAGAAGTAAACTACACCAAGATACCTAATTTTATTTATCGGTGTTTGATTTCAATGAATGGTGTTGCCATGGTTGCCATGGTTAGTAAAATAGAAATATTTGTGAATTTCTTTCAAAACGCTACTCCTCCTACAGTTTAAGGATGATTTCAATATAACTTGGCACACAAGTATACTGCACTGAAATACATAATTTTGTTTGTTTTATTGTTTAACGTCCCTCTCGAGAATTTTTCACTCATGGAGACGCCACCACTTGCCGGTGGAGAGCTGCAAATTTTGACCTATACTCGGCAATCAGGGCCATTGAGCAGTGAGGGATCTTTTTCGTGCCCAGCACCTACTGCGACCTCGGTTTATACGGTCTCATCCGAAAGACTGGTCTCCACGTCCCACAGAGGAATTCGAACCAGGGACGTAAGGATCAACTCCTTACTCCGGAACTCTAGAGCGAACGCTCTAACCACTGCGCAACGCGGGCGACTGAAATACATAATTTTATACATGGGTTTTGATATTTTTTTTCTTTTTGAGCAGTGTTGCCATGATTTCTTAAAATAGAAATTTCTGTGAAAAACTATCAAAATGCTACAATTCTCCCACAGTATTGTCAAATTTCAGTATAACTTGGCACACAAGTAGATTATACTGAGATACACAGTTCTTTTTATCGATTTCTGTGTGTATGTGTGTGTGTGAGCGTTGTTACCATGGTTACTAAAAATAGAAATATTTGTGAAATACTTTCAAAACGCTATTAGTCCTACTGTTTTCGTCTGATTTGAATATAACTTGGACATAAGATTTCAAACTCAGATAAAATAATTCTGTGTATCGGTTTTTGATTTGGAATAATGGTGTTGCCTTGGTTACTAAACATAGAAATTTCAGTGAAATACTTCCGAAATGCTACTCGTCCTACAGTTTTGATCTGATATCAATATAACTTTGCATTCAAGTAGACTACATTGAGATACGTAATTTTATGTATCAGTTTTTTTTTTTAATTTTGTTAAACGGTATAGCCATGGTTACTAAAAATAGAAATTTTGGTGAAATTCTTTCAAAAGGATATTCCTCCAACAGTTTTAATCTGATTGCAATATATCTTGCCAAAAAGAGAAAAAACCAAGAACCATTATTCAATTCATTGCTGTTGCATAGTTTCAAGTGCAAGTGCTACTTTTCTCTTCCTTTGTTATAAGTTCAAACCAGTAGAGCTAGTCTCATCAGAGACTTCTGGTTGTCCAATTGCAATTAAACTTGACTCAGAAAAGCGACTTAACCAAGGATTATTATTTTATTTATTGCTATTGCCAAAGTTTTAAGTTAGTGCTACCTTTGTTAATTAAGTAAAAACCAGTAGAGTACAGTCTCACCAGAGACCTTTGTTCTTAAAGGGGCTTTGACACAGATTTGAAGTTAATATTTTCTCAAATTTATTGTATAATATGCTGACTTAAATGTTGCTATAGCAACAATAGCGGAAATATAATTTAAAAAACTATTTTATCTAGAAATTATTGAAACTACGAATTTCGGGACACGTTTGATTGACACATCTTTGCACTTTCACAAAGTAAACTTTATTCTTAGTACTTAAGAAAATTAGACATTTTGTTGTGTATTAATGAAAAATATTAAAATATAATCCAGAAAATATTCAGAGTAGAAATGTGAGAAAGCAAAACCAATTCACCAGTGTTGTCAGTCCGTTGATGTGTGCAGAGTTTAACAAATTGAAACACCCCGTGAAACGTAAACATTAACAATAACAGAGCTCGCGCCCTGTTTACAAAAACAGTTTACGTTTCACGGGCGTGTTCAATTTGTTAAACTCTGCACACATCACTGAACACGGACTGACAATACTGGTGAGTTGGTTTTGCTTTCTGACATTTCTACACTGAATTTTCTGGATTAAAGTTTTAATATTTTTCATTAATACACAACAAAAATTCTACTTTTCTTAAGTATTAAGGATAAAGTTTACTTTATGAAAGTGCAAGGATGTGCCAATGAAACGCGTCCCGAAATTCGTAGTTTCAACAATTTCTAGATTAAAAAAAAAAAAAAATTAATTATACATGTATTTCCGTGTGAAATGCTATAGGTCAGGATATTATACAGAAAATTTGAGAAAATATTAACTTCAAATCTGTGTCTAAGCCCCTTTAGGGAAAATATTGTAAAATAAAAAGTGTCTTAATTTCTCTAGGTATCGGATTTGACTGAAACAAACGTTCTTGGTCGGATTTTTAAGCGCTGGGCTGGATGTGGACGTGAATCATTCACTGATGCCGACACCTTTGGAGTCTCATGTATGTACAGTACATATTCCTTTTAAAATGTTACTTTGATTTTTTTTTCCCCTGTAGCAATAGAAAAAGGAATCAAAGAAAATGAGGTTGTGCCTTTTTTAGCTCTATTGGTCAGAGACCATAAGAGTTTATGTGAAAGTAAGGTATCCGTCCTCCGTCCGTCTGTCTAGCTGTCTGTCTGTAAACAATTTTTTCAAAATGCTACTCCTTCTACAGTTTTGGTCAGTTTTCAATATATAACTAGGTACACAAGTAGACTATATATACACTTAGATACATACCGGATAATTCTTTATATCAGATTTTTATTTCGATAAACGATGTTGCCATGGTTATTAAAAATAGAGATTTATGTGAAATTCTTTCAAAACGCTACTCCTCCTACAATTTTAGTCTGATTTTAATATTACTTGGTACACAGATAAACTACAATAAGATACATAATTCTGTAAATCGGTTTTGATTTCAGTTAAGGGTGTTGCCATGGTTACTAAAATAGAAATTTATGTGAAATTCTTTCAAAACGCTACTTTTCCTACAGTTTCAATACGATTTCAATATAACTCGATACACAAATAGAATACACTAAGATATATAATTCTGTTTATCAATTTTTCATTTCGATGAACAGTGTTTCCATGGTTACTAAAGATAGAAAATTCTGTGAAATTCTTTCAAAACGCTACTCCTTCTACAGTTTTAGTCCGATTTCAATATTACGAAGTACATAAGTAGACTACACTAAGATACATAATTCTGTATATTGGTTTTTGATATTAGTGAAGGGTGTTGCCATGGTTACTGAAAAATAGAAATTCTATGAAATTCTTTTAAAAGACTACTTCTCCTATAGTTTTGGTCTGATTTCAATATAACTTGGTACACAGGTAGACTACACTAAGATACATAATTCTGTGTATCGATTTGATTTTGTTGAAGTGTTTCCATGGTTTACTTAAAAAATAAAATATTCTGTGAAATTCTTTCAAAATTTTACTCTTACTACCGTTTTTTGGGTTTTTTTTTTTTTTTTGTTTTTTGTTTGGTCCAATTAAACTTGACTCAGAAAGAGACTGAACTAAGGATCATTATACATGTATTATTTTTGCTGTTTCCGTAGTTTCAAGTCCAATTTCTACCTTTCCCTACTTTTGTTAAGTAAAAACCAGTAGAGCTACAGTCTCGTCAGAACTTCTGGTTATTATTGTTTATTAGTGTGCTATTGATTCATTTTAATTTGCAATTCTTGTACAAGTAAATTTACGCAAAAAAAAAAAATGATTGTCACTGTTCACACTTGGTATTTATATCCACCAAGCAAAATTAAATTGATATGGTCAGTTTGACGAACAAACATCTATAGGAAGTGTCATTTTACACTTACAAAATCGGTTTTGATGGTTTTATCCGACCCTATATATGTTTTGCATACAGTCAGACTAATTTTAATTCAAGTTGAACAATGTTGTTTTGATAAATGAGTTTCAGGAACACTAAATTTTTATATACATGTATTACATTACGGATGCGTATTATTGCCACATTGACACTTTTTTTTGGGGGGGGGGGGCACTTTAATCTGTGAAATTTACGCTTTAATCTGTAAATTTACGCTTTGAATTGAATTAAACATATTATTTCATTGACTAAGTGAAAATGAGAAGACACAAGTTCCATAACTTAGGTAGTCTTCTCCTTCTACAGAATTTTATAATATTGCCATAATACAAGTACAACTAATTGGTCTGTAACAAATACATTAGTAGTATTAACAACTGAAAATTCTTGATATGCAAAATATAATTCTTTAATCTGTAAATTTTACACTTTAATTTGTAAATTTTACACTTCCATCTCTATAACTTACACTTAAATCTGTAAATTTTACAGATTTAAGTTTAAATTTTACAGATTTAAGTGTAAATTTTACAGATTTAAGTGTAAATTTTACAGGTGAAAGTGTGGAAAATGAAAAACAAAAACAGTGTCCAAGTGGCACAAATACGCTATATAATACACTGTATATAGGTAGCTATAAAATATTGACGTGTTTTCTGATATAAACATGTATGTATATATTATGGACTGTTGCCATACCCACCATCCTGTGTTATATATTGTAGTTCCCATAGATATGGCGGTAACGAGTAAGGCCCTTCTGTTCGGCACCGTCTTCCTTGTGGTAAGTTATTGTCAACAGCAAGCACCCAAGATAAAGCAAAGAAATGTGTAATATTTTATTTCATAGATACATGTGTATTTCATTTTGCAATGAAGAAATATTTTTAGCAGTACTTTTATCTTTCAAATATGTAAAAATATATATGAAATTCCTTTCATATAGGAAATATGTTTAAAAAAATTATATTATTTTCCGACTTAAGTATTAAGGATAAAACATTAGTATTTCCCCCAATCTTTCTCTTGGAGTGTACATCCTACACTTATCTTTTGAGTATTTTTCATCATTTAATACCAAATGTAATTTTATTCCAGGACTTTTTGTACTATGAACACTCAGAAGACGATAATAACCAATAACTGTTGGAGAATTACCCGGTACTAGCTGGACACTATAGAACAAATACAAACCTGTGGACTGTGTCTGAATCACACTTACTACTGGGCTGAATATATCCTCAGTGTTTGATACGCAATCAATATCATTGTTAGATGTACACCTCTGATTTGTCTCATAGATCATTCTGTCCAGAAAAAGAGAACGAGACAGTAAAATGTACACGTCAGCTCTATTTTTAATTTGTCTATTTTAATTATGCAAATGTATTTCATCTATTTGAATTGATAAAGAAGTGAATAAAGCTAAATAGAGAGATTATTATGTGCTTGATCAGTTTATCTTTTTATCTGATGACTGCTTTCAATACACGAGGATAGAGAAAAGGAGACATTTATATCCGGCGGAAAGGTAAATAAACGATTAATGCGCAACGGACAATAATTTTTCATAAACATATTAAAAATACAAAACAGACTAGCTAAAAACAAAATCAACATCAACAGTCATTAACTGAGTTGACGCTAGATGGCGTGCAAAAAAAGAATGGGGGTGTAATGAAGATAGTAGTTGCTACATAGCTTCTACGTAGAGCTACGATCTTGAACGATATGCTAGCCTAGCCGCACTGTTAAAAATCTAGCATAAAAATTTGATGCTAGGTACCAAAGCCAAGATGGTCTCCTTATAGCTACCATGTCGCATTACATTTATTTAGATGCAAACAAAAAAAAAATGAGGGTGTTTTCTACCATCTTAGCAAATTAAATGTAAATTAACATATACATCTTCGCTCGAGTTCAGCTCATCCAAAAATTAATTATTACTGAGATAATTATGTCCTAAATGTAACACATAGATGCTAGGCGAGATACCTTCAATAGAGCTAGATATCTACCAGCTAGGTTAAATTAACCGCTACGACCTTGAACGCAGCCTAGACATAATCTGAATTAACGGTAGATGACGCGTAAGTCTGCAAGTTATGGAAACTGTAATTTACAAACTGCAACGAAACAAATCTTGAAAGTACAATTTACATTTTACAAGCTGACAAATCGAGCAAATTCACAAATTGCGTATTCCGCATTGACACACTTTGATTTAAAATTTACACCTGTTAAGCAGAATAGTTAAAATAAGTTGCGATAGTACAATTTGCAAATTACACATTTTTAAAGCTCTAAAATAGATTCCATAATTATCTGCCCAATATACTCTTGTAAGAAATATGATTGTATTTGAAATCATGGTGATGACGTGATCCAAATCAATGAATTTCAGCGTAATCTTGAAATCTCTCCATTTCCAAATTTCTTTATTATATGATATGTCTGTGAACTGTTTGTGTATTGGCAAAATTAAACACCTATTTTATATAGTTTTAGATAAATAAGAGGGGCGATTTTATCTTCGCAGTCCGCAAAACGTTATCCAATGTCCTTATATAAGTAGTGAAAGTTCTTTATCTCATGTACCTTGTTTTCTCTCTTGTTTTTTCATTCCTTTAAAAAAAAATACAAATCATTTAAAGGGGGAGGAAATAAGCACCTCCTTCAAATTTACCTGGTCTTAGAACCCCTGTCAATCATCTGAAATTAAGCCTGGGATTGGATACTTGGATTTGATTGACATTTAGTTTTCTGCCGTTGTGTATATCTTGTGTACCTTGTCTGGAGCTTGTACCGACCATCGAATTTACATTCAGGCTTTTGATGCCTACCGCAAATGCCAAGAAGCAATCAAGGCATTTTTTTTAATTCATAAGAATATGCCATAAATATAATCATTTTGTCAAATAATTAAATAAATGATAAGAAAAATCATGCTTATATATTAAAATTGTAATTTAAAAAGGGGGATTTCATTTCACGATTACAATCGATAATTATAATTTGTCAAAACATAATTTAACTAACGTACATTTATTCTACCTTAACAAAATTTACCGACCTGCGTTTGAAATATCATGGAATTAAATAAAATTATTTTTTTTAAACAAGTATGACAACATTGTAATATTGCTAAAGTGAAACTTTATAAGACAAATACGTGTCGCTTTTCTTCAAGACATGGCGACGAAGTTACAGTATAATAACCAGTTTTAGAAAAGCAATTATTCGGATTATAACATCTTGCTTTGCATGTAATATTTGAAATTATGAACCCCAAAGGAAAAAAGTACAATGCAGGTGATTCAATTCCCGTTTCACTTATAGCTGCCGAGGGAATCACCCCCAGTCCAAAGCCCTGGCCATTTTTACAGACAATGCGTCATTGAAAAATCACGTAGGAATTATCTTCTATTAGTATTTATTTAATTTATTATCTTTCTACACAATTTAGCCTCCAAACAGCGTTTCTGAGTTTTATTATTACGGAGAGACTTATTTATGACCCACTTTCTTCTTTTGTATTGCGTACACGACGTGCAATTAAAATTACTTCCCTTTGTGTCGCCAACTTACAACGACAAATTTTGGTCCTATAATATTCGTTATAACATGTGAAATTAATTAACAAACACACAGTATAATTGAAATTGACAAATTATTACAAAAGATTAATTTTAAAAGAAAGAATTTGAGTAGGATTCTGTCCGCAACAAAAACATTTCGCATGCTTTATTTCAGAATGTTACGGTCAACATTTCAATTGACCTACACAAGAAAAACAATGAATTTGTTTTACTGTGTCGTAGGAAAACGTATACAGGTAATACATGCAGGTAACATCCTGTGTATAAAGGTAGGTATACACAAGCCAGCGTCGTTCCCTCAGGGCTTCTCATCCGCTTCGATTAAGCTCCACCCCACACCAAAATTTCCTGAGGAAAACCGACCGGTTGAAAACCTCGGCCTTTAAACTGTAATCCAGAAAAATCAGAGTAGAAATTTGAAAAAGCAAAACCAACTCATCAGTATTGACAGTCCGTGCTCAGTGATGTGTGCAAAGCAAACAAATTGAACACACCCGGTAAAACTAACAGAGATCGTGCCCTGTTTACAAACACAGATGTTTCACGTGATGTAAAGAGGAATGTCGTTGTAAATGAATTCTGAGAATATTCATGTAAGCTCAATTCATTAAACTGAAGTTATTTTTTTAATAAACATAGAAATTGAAAATGTAAACAATGCAACTGGGTCCAAGCCCCTTTATATAAAAATGTGTAATACATGTACATGTATTTTCAAGGAGTATTTCTTCTCCTAATAAAGGAAACAATAATCTATATATTTAATAAAAGCTGGCAAATTTCTAACAAACAAGCTGCTCGGCGAAATTCGAGGGATTTTCATATAACTGAAACTCTTAAACTCCAAACCCACTGTCATATACATGTATTGTGAAGTAGGAAATAGGTATATCCTCCACCCTTCCGTGGATACAATTATCAAGACAACAATATGATAATTGAGTTTGAAAATTGGATACAATCCGTGCAATCAATCTTTAAAGAATTACATCCGTTATCCTGAGCTATCAGGTCATATAGTTGGATAATCACGGGTTATTATTTAGAACACAACAGAACACCGACTCCAACGTATCATTGGTGTGTCCGATTTTCTTTGCTATTCATCACATGTACGCTGTATAAGATGAAATGCCAGAATGAAGCCAGTTTTTAAAAGTGTATGCGTCAAATTTTTCATGAACTCTGCTATAGTTTTTAAAGGACACATGTATTACCTTCGAGTATCGGAAGTAATATACAGTTTAGGTCAAGGCATTTATACGTAGTTTCTTTCTAAAATAAACCAAAAAGAAAATTCTTTGAAAACTTTAAAAGAAGCAATGCTTTCCTTTCTCACTTAAAATTCTATTAGATGTATTATCACACGGACTTCTCTGTAGACATAAGCACGTAGCATCGTTTTAAAGTGGAAAGGGGGAATAAGATACATGTTCCTGGGGGAAAAATCGTGTCGAAGAAAATTGAACCCCACGCACCCACCTCTCTATGAAATAGGTTATTTTTTTGAGTTTGGACGGATTTCTTTTCTTTTTTCCTTTCTTTTTTTTATTTTCATTTCATTCTATTTATTTTATTTTTATTTTATTATTATTAATTGGTCGCCCGCGCTGATCGTTTCCTCTATAGTTTCCTCTATAGTCGCGGAGTAGTTGATCCATCCTTACGTCGCCGGTTCGAATCCGTTGTGTGACGTGGAGACCGGTGCCGGCAAGTGGTTGCGTCTCAATATGAGTAAAAAATTCTCGAAGTGGACGTTAAACAGCTAAAAACCAAATAAAAATGTTAATTTTTTTTTCTTTTAAGAATCTTTTCCCCCTGTCAACAATTTCCCGGCTGCCCCCACCCCTTTACTTTGAAAATTGATACAAGCGGTCGTCTGGGATCAATATATATATATATATATATATATATATATATATATATATATATATATATATATATATATATATATATATATATATATATATATATATATGATTATTAACGCTGAATACAATGTTATATAACTGTTTATGTAACTGTTTACCGGTATATATATTTATTTATATAAAAACAATGTATATTGTGAATAATGTTTAAATTGTGCATTTATATATGTGGAAATGCCTCTCGGGGCCCTTGATTGGTAAATAAAATATCTTGTATCTTGTATATATATATATATATATATATAAAATTATTATTATTATTTTTACTATCATTAAACGTATGTACTCATCTAATCTAAATATATGTCTGTGTCGTATATAAAGACGAACAATAATTTTGAGCATCTAGAATAGTGGATTATAAGTAGGTCAATATCCTCTTACCTCTCCATTCTTTAAAAGCAATGGGCCTCAGCCCCCTCGAGGTTCCATTAACATTAATCAATATGTATATGTATATCGGATCCGCTACTAAAATGTTTTAATCTATATAGAAATTGCATTGTAACTGATCACTGTTCTATTTCAATTTTACAATTTATAATACAAGAGTGAATTTTTAATCCATTGGTTGATCAATCAATATTAATATTATTGCATATTAGCGTGAGACTAGAGTGACAAAATCCTGATGACCTAATCTTTATCTCTATCATATTAATATTTACTATACAAACCGTGAAGGATGTGCTTCGACTAAATACAATGTATAGTCGCATTCCAGTGTGTAGTTTGAAATAAACATATAAAGTTGACCTAAAATTCTAAGCATTTTAGTGCAGTCTGGCGGTACAAAGCAGTTACCCGAAGGATTGATAAAACTCGGTGGAGAGGGAAGGGTGGCCGATAGGAGCTAAGCTTTGGGTAAGTTGCGAAAGACATATTGATTTGAATTTAAATTCTATACAAATTAAGGTATTTTTAGCCTTGATGTAGATTTCCGTGAACCGGAACAATCGCAAGACTCTTCGATTATGCATGATTTCGAAATCTCGCAAATGTACAAATAACTGGTACGTCTGAATAAGTTTAAACGGATTGTGATTTGTGGAACAGGCCTGTATATTGGATTCTGGTAAACTTCATTTTGATATTGTTCAAACCACAGTTCTATAATTGAGTTTTGTTTATTGTTTACTTTTTGCGGTTGATCAATTGTTTACCTGTGCAGGTAATTATAAATATGGCGGCGAAACCTCCAGTGCAGACGCAACCTGGACAAGGTATGTACATGAATATTTGTCTATAAAGCCCCCCACCCCACCCCTTTTCCTTAACTCCCCAAAACCATGAAAACAGGAAAGGGTCAACCTGAATCATGTTTACATTTCCTTAAAATCACCGAGTATAACTGTTTCTTAGAGGCGCTGATGAAGGATAGCTTCCATTTATTTTCTTCATGCATTAGGCCAAACGTTTTTTTTTTATTCAAATTCTTTAGGTATACAGAAACCCAGTATCTTTATGAACTTTTTGAAAACTTTGTTAAGAAATATAACTCGTAGATTTATGAATATTTAATATTTTCTTCATGTTTAATCGTAAAAACGAGAATGCGGGGAGGGAGATTGTCAGGCATATACTATCTGCTGATACATGTATGGATAATTTTTGTGACAGAAGTTTTAAAGTCCATTCTTTCATATTTGTATTTCTAAGTGGTTTGGTCCTGTACTCTCACAGATTTTTATATGTAGTAATTAAGGAAGCTCAGTCTTAATCTTCTTTACTGCAGTTTGGGATTAGAAGTGAATACGTGTGATTAATGTTATTGCATATAAGTTAAGGACGCAATAGTTTTAAGACGAATATTTTATCGACAAAGCTTCAAGCCACGGTCTGCAGTCCGCATATAGCTCTTTCCAAAATGAGAGATCGAGGGTCGTACATTTTGGTCGTGGTTGCGACGATGGTTTACCTACAGATAATAATGAATCTAACAGTAAAAGAAGAATAAAAAAATCTTGTTTTGGAGTGTCACTGTCTGTGTGTCAGATTTTATGACGGTATTCAGGCCCGTAGGAAGGCCCCCCGTGCCCCCCCCCCCCCGGTTCCTACGGCCATGGTATTTACTCCTTAAATATATATTTCCAAAAATGTACTCCAGATAAGAAAAATGCACCTCACTCAAACTATTCCCTTTTTGGAAATTTTCTGTAGTATGTGTTTTCTGTATTATATGCTAAACGAACCCCTGCATTTTTTTTATGTTTTACGTAGGTGGACAGTGGATGAACATGCCCCAGTCCATTCCGGGTGTTCCCCCAGGATTAGAGTATATGGCAAACTTGGACCAGATGATTGTTAAACAGAGAGTGGAGTTGCTGGAGGGTAAGGAGTAGTTACTAAACAATTGACATGTGTATAGAGTTCTACCGTAGTTACCAAAATAAATAACACATGTAAAGAATTTTACCGTTGTATATAGTGCTCTACTGTAATCACCAAAATAAATAATTAACATGTGTAGAGAACTCTCCCGTAGTTATCAAACTAAACAATTAACGTGTGTAGAGAACTCTACCATAGTTATCAAACTAAACAAATAACATGTGTAGAGAATCTACCGTTGTTATCAAACTAAACAAATAACATGTGTAGAGAATCTACCGTTGTTACGAAACTAAACAATTTTAAAACGTGTATAGAGAACTCTACCATAGCTACCAAACTAAGAAAGTAACATGCGTAGAGAACTCTACCATAGTTACGAAACTAAACAAATAACATGTGTAGAGTACTCTACCGTAGTTACCAAACAATGTGTGTAGAGGACTCCACCGTAGCTACCAAACTAAACAATTAACATGTGTAGAGATCTCTATCCTATGGTAGTTTACAGACAGAACTTGTAAAATAAAAAGACAACTGAAGTGGCAAAGGACATGTTATACATGCATTGGAGTTTAAAACTTCCTATAAAATGGATTTATAATTGTGTTGTAGCTCAGTCGGTAGAGTGCTCGCTCCGTGATCGGGAGGTCGTAGGTTCGAACTTCGGCCATGACTGACCTAAGTCGATAAAAATAGGTAGCAGCTGTTCCTTCGCCAAGCTCTCGGCACTTTGAAGTGAAAGTTGCAGGTCTTTCGGATGAAACCTTAAAAACCGAGGCCCCTTGTCACAGCAGGCGTTGGCACAATAAAGAACCCTCACTGCTCAATGGCTCTGAGTGCCGAGTAAAGGTCAAAATTTGAAGCCCTTCACCGGTATATGGTGACGTTTCTATATGAGTGGAAAATTCTCGAACGGGACGTAAAACAACATACAATCAATCAATCATTGTACAGTTGTACAAGACAAAAATCAGGATAACTCTTCCTTTTATACGTGATTGTGTGTTTCAGGACATGTCATTTAAATCCATATCATTGGAAGCCCCCATTTCTTTTTAGGTCACCTGAGTCACTCAGGTGACCTACTGCTATCCGTTTTTGTCCGTCGTCGTGCGACGTGCGTTAACATTTGAACAATTTTTAGCTTCTTCTCTGAAACCACTTAACCGATTTCGACCAAATTTGGCATATAGCATCTGTTGGTGATGGGGAACAAAAACTGTGAATTTCATGGTCCCCCCTGGGGCCTGAGGGGTGGGGCTAAAACCACCAAAATTAATGCAATCTTTAAAAATCTTCTTCTTTACTCCTGGACATCAAGAAGTCAAACTGTTGGCATGATTGTAAAAAGCATTGAGCCTTCTACCAAAATTGCGAAATTCATGGCCCCAGGGTCAGGGGTTCTGGTGCTAGGGTGGGGCTATATAGATCATATAAAGAAAATGCATTAATTCTTTGAAAATCTTCTTCTCTGCTCCTGGGTATTAAATAAACTAAATAAGTACATTGTTATGAAGAGTAAGAGTGCCTCTTTCAAAATTGTGAATTTCATGGCCCCAGGGTCAGTGGTTCTGGTGTTAGGGGAGGGCTCTATTAATTATATAGTGAAAATGCATTAATTCTTTGAAAATCCTCTTCTCTGCTCCTGGGTATTGAATAAACTAAACAAGTATATAGTTATGATGAGCAAGAGTAACTCTTCCAAAATTGTGAAATCCATGGCCCCAGGGTCAGGGGTTCTGGTGTTAGGGCGGGGCTTTATTGATTATATAGTGAAAATGCATTCATTCTTTGAAAATCTTCTTCTCTGCTCTTGGGTATTAAATAAACTAACTAAGTACACAGTTCTGATGAGCAAGAGTGCCTCTTCCAAAATTGTGAAATTCATGGTCCCAGGGTCAGGGGTTCTGGTGTTAAGGCGGGGCTCTATTGATTATATAGTGAAAATGCATTAATTCTTTGAAAATCTTCTCTGCTCCTGGGCATTAAATAAACTAAGAACATAGTTTTGGTGAGCATGGCTGCCTTTTGAGAAATTGAGAAATTCATGGCCCCAGGGTCAGGGGTTCTGGTGTTAGGGTGGGGCTCTATTGATTATATAGTAAATTGCATTAATTCTTTGAAAATCTTCTTCTCTGCGTCTGGGTTCTAAATAAACTAATTTAGTGCATAGTTCTGATGAGCAAGAGTGCCTCTTCCAAAATTGTGAATTTCATGGACTCTTGGTCAGGGGTTCAGGTGTTAAGATGGGGCTCTTTTGATTATATAGTAAAATTGCATTAATTCTTTGAAAATCTTCTTCTCTGCTCCTGGATATTAAATAAACTAAGTACATACTTATGATGAGCATGGCTGCCTCCTCAGAAATTATGAATTTCATGACCCCTGGGTCAGGGGTTCTGGTGTTAGGGCAGGGCTCTATTGATTATATAGGGAAAATGCATAAATTCTTCCAAAATCTTCTTCTCTGCTCCTGGGTATTTTTCAATCAAAGGAAGTGCATGGTTATGATATGGAAGAATGCCTCTTCCAAAATCGTGAAATTCATGGCCCCTGGGTCAGATGTTCTGGTGAAAGGGGGGGGGGTCTATTGATTATATAGTGAAAATGCATAATTTCTTTTTCTTTTTCTACTACTGATTATAAAGCAAAGAAACAAGTGTATAGTTATGATGAGCAAGGGTGCTTCTTCCAGAATTGTGAGTTAATGGCCAATGGGTCGGATGTTCTGGTGTAAATATAGTGCTTTATTTATTTAATAATATAGAGTGAAAATGCATTTCTTTGAAAATCTTCTATGATTCTGGGCATATTTGTGCCAAACAGAGTAAAAGTTTTAATATGCAAGGGTATTTTCACTAGAATTTTGAACACCTGGACCATTTAATCAAGTGTGCTGGTCCTGGCCATGGCTCTATTAACTTGTATTCTACTGAGCAAAGTTATTCCCCTTTGCCATTCACCTTTGATAATTAATCACTGTAAATAATGTATTTGAAAGGTTAATAGAATAAGAGTAAGTTATTTTTGTCTCGTTTTTATTTATCTATTACTTCCAAGTCTACCTGATCATTAAAACTATGAAAGTACTTTTTGTATTATACAATAAATATTCTTGCATAATTCTCTTTTTTAAATGTTCTTCAAAGGCCAAGAGAGGTCAATGTGAGAAGTAATAATATGGGGTTAAAAATGGGCATTTTGTAAATAGTCTGCATGGTAGTGATAAATGGGGGACAGATAGATACTAGACCAATTATTTTGTTGATGCTAATCATACTATATTTCTTGCTTTTGGGCAACAAAGCTTCATTTATCAGTTTATGGATCCTCTAAATTGTTGTATTGCACTCAGGTGACCGTTAAGGCCCTTGGACCTCTTGTTTTATTAGCGAATTTCTTGGACATTCAAAGTAGAAAAAGGTAAACTTACCCCTTCTCTAAAACGCGCCATTTTACTAGGAATATAATACTTGAAGTATTTCTTGTTTGCATCTTGGACTATGTTATCGTTGCAAACATTTCCTTGATATAATTTCCTTAACTTCTCAAAAACACTTTTGCTCCAAACAGATACGTTACCTATTGGGGTTATATACATGTAAGATCCTGTTTTCTTCAGATGTTACACAAACTGCGTAATATGGTGTTTTGGATTTATGAAACAGTTATATGTATAGAGTGCATAAATACTTAACAGATACTTTACATTTAGATGTCAGAACCAAATCTGCGTCTCGTATCTCTCTCTCTCCATGATTGTGACATGCAAGTTAAATTATGTTAACATGCTGGCATGCAACATAATTATAAAGACATGCGACTTATTTCAACATGCAAAATAATTATGTTGACTTGCAAGTTACCAATCTCTTTAAAGAATATAATTTTAATGTTGGTAAACTTACTTACTAACGCCATTATATGACATCATACAAGCAAGATGCAACAGAATTATGTTGACATGTGGCTTATTTATGTTAACATTTGAGATAATTATGTTGACATGCAACTTATTTATGTCAACATGCAAAATAGTTATGTTGACATGCGAGTTAACTAACATCAACATGCAAGATATTTATGTTGACATGCAACTTATTACTGGTATCTTGCATGTTAAAATATAATTTGCATGTTGACATAAATAAGTCGCATGTTGACATAAATAAGTCGCATGTTGACTTAAACAAGTTGGATGTTAACATAATCATCTTGTCTTAGAATCTTGCATGTTAACATAAATAAGTCGCATGTCTACATAATTATGTTGCATGTTAACGTGAATAAGTCGCATGTTGACATGAATATCTTGCATGTTAACATAAATATCTTGCATTAATAAGTTGCACGTCAACATAATTCTGTTGCATCTTGTTTGTTTGTTGTCGTATACCGGCGTTAGTATGTTTACCAACATTAAAATTAGATTCTCGTAGCACGGAAGCGTAAAGGTCTCTACACTTGTTGTGTTATATTTGTGTACATTGTCTTACTTTTTATTGTCGTATCAATATATAATCTGTTATGACTTCTTATTTTCATTCATATGTTGTTTTGTATCTGGGTATTTTCACATGATTTAAAGCGTCTTTTCGGTGTAATGGATTTTATTGCTAAAAGTTATATCAACTTAAAAAAATATCGATATGAAAAATATTGATTTAAGCATGAAAATTAAAGATATCGATGTAGTTAGCTCGACACACACAATAAAAATATATGCATAAGAGTTAAATTGATATAAATATACTAGTATTTCTAGGGGGAAAGTTTGAAAATATTGTTCTCCAACTAACTTCGCGAAAGCGGGAATTTTAATGAAACGTCACATCTCTCAGATTTATTGACGGCACATGCACAATGTCACGGTGTCATGTGTAAAGTGTTAAATATTTGTTGTATGGTTATAGAGAAAAACAAATAAAAGAAGAAGGGGATGAGAGGGAGGTGATCAGTTAGACTTTCCCCATTGAAGCAAATATCAATTATAATCAAATCATTCTGATTAATAAGAAATGAAATCTACTAGTATATGCATGTCTAGTAATAATTTAATATTTTTTCTTATTAATAAATAAAAATCGTCCAGCTCTCTTTGAAATAAAGATTAAATGCTAGCAAAGTATGCATAAAAAATTTGCTGTGATTAAAAAAAATTAAGGACAGCTACCCCTTTCCCATCGTTTCTATGTTCCATACATAAATACATTTAGAACTTGTCCTATTTGTGGATGAAGCGAAAGTAGAATGTAAAATATTATAAAAGTGACACTGGGTATGTACTCTGTAATATGTTTTATCATTCTGTGGTAAACATAGGATGTGCCACATAGACGTGAATCTCCAAAGTCTCCCCCCCCCCCCGAACTCAAAAAATTAAGCAGTGAATCAGGATGGAATATATATACAGTGTATATATATGAGATAAAAATTAACTATCAGCACATCAGATCTATACATGTAACTTCTAATTACTTAAAATAATGTAAAATAATCTGTGCTTCATTGCAGACAATTAAAAGAGGGAAAGGGTGGGGTCAGCCAAATAAAATATATCACAAGAAAAAAACAGAGATTTAATTATCCAACTGCGAGTTATTTCTTTACTATTGGAATATATTCGCGGATCTCTACTCAGGGTTAAAAAAAAGCTTGAGGAGGGGCACAAAGATACTCTTGCTTCTCCCCCTCTTCAAAAGTGCTTATAGTACAATAAATAGCACCCTCTGACTATGCCTACGATCTAACTGTTTATTTCTCTCCATCTCCTTTTTTTAAAAATATTTTTGAATCTGTATCAGCCTATAATCGAATACGATAGCAAATACATGGTACAGGGGCTTTCACTGAATCCCGAGTGAAGTACTAATGAAGATTCATTAGAATTCCCGCCCCCCGCGAAGTTAATTCAATAACAATATTTTTTCACTTTTTCGCGGAAATATTCATATATTTATATCGATATAACTACATATTTATTTTTACATATCGACATTACTTTATTAATAGGATTAAGTATCTTGCTTTGATCAATATCTTAAAATCAATATTTTTTAAGTCGATAAAACTTATAGCAATAAAATCAATCAAATAAAAGAAGGTGCCTTAAATTATGTAAAAACATCTAAATACAATTCAAAATATATGTATAAATAAGGAGTTATTACACTTTATATGTTTACAAGACAATAAAATATGACAATATACAAGTTATAACACAAGTGTAGAGCCCTTTACGCTTCCGTTTCTCAAAAAAGATTGGTATTAAACTTGCATGTCAACATAATTATCATGCATGAAGACATAATTATCTTTTATGTTGACATACTTTACTCGCACGTTCACATAATTTATCTTGTATGTAGGGGACAGAAATATGCCACCATAAATACGGAACCTGTGCCTCCCGTTACGATGCTTTGGAGAATTCCCCTATTCTGTGCCACTTTTTTCGTGTTCAACTTTTATTACTCCTAATAATTGCATTTGAATATTGTCGGAATCTAGGTTCTAGGGGATCCATACCCCCAACTGCCTGTGGCTCAGATATGCAAGTATGGACATTGCACTTGACCTCTAGAATAAAGTTCCTATTTTGAGAGGGGTGATAGATGTCCAGAACATAACCTCAATTTACAGCTTCGCTTATATTTAAAACTTGTATTCTATTCCAGAGTTGATAGAGTTCCTCTTGTTTAAGATGTCCAGGCACATTGCTTAAAAATTCTAATTATAATATAAAATATTTCTTACAGTGTTTACTGGCTGCGAAATGAGAAACAAATATGATGTTTTAAACAGCGTTGGACAACAGTGTTATTATGCGGAGGAAGGTAAGCCATGGTTAATATCATTAATTAATGATAGATATACCAATATTATTAATATAACTGGCTGATATGACATGGGATAAGATTTAAGTAAGTGGTATTTTTTTCTTTTTACCCACTATTTACTGGTGCCTTTGAAATCCTTTGAAGGCAATATATCCAAATACTAGTAATTCCACCATGATTTGTTTTAGAATCTGAGTTTTGTCACCGAATTTGCTGTGGACCCATGCGAGAATATGTAATGCATATCACAGACAACAATGGCCAGGTAACCATACCTTTGAAATAGCCTGGTTTATCAGCCATAGTTCTCTAATGCTTTTGTTTAAGTATTTGAAAAATACTCAATATTACAAAAGTCGGTTTCGAATCTGAGGGGGGCTTTACAGGACTTTTATACTCTGTTTCCTGTAGGAGGTGATGAGGATTACCCATGACTTTGTTTGTTGTGTGGGGTGCTGCTGGTGTGCCACCGACTCTTCTTGTGGGTATGAAGTGAGAATCGAAGCTCCAGTTGGAAACATTATCGGCTATGCAAAACAACAGTTAGTTCGATCTTTGGATATTCTGTTCAAAATTGCTTTTAATAATTTGAAATTTTCCTTTCGAGCGTGAACACATGGTATAGGAAAACGGAAATTTATGAATTAGAATTATTTTCCAGATCTTCAAAATGGAAACCCCACATTCGCGTTTTTGACGCCAGCCGCCAGCCGTTGTACGTCGTCCGCGGACCCTGTTGCTGGGGATGCCAGAATATCTGTTGTACCGACGACATTGACTTTCCGGTGAGTCACTTATCGGAATGGCTTCAATTATTTTTATTTCTATTACCGTGAAATATTTTCTCTTCAGTTTTGCATTGATTAATTTCTTTTACATTTTATGTAAAAATGAAATAAATAATCAATTTTTGAAAAACCTTTGGTTCTTTTTGATAGATAACGGACTTATCAGAAACGAACAACCTGGGCCGGATGTTCAAGCGTTGGGCCGGATGTGGTCGTGAAATGTTTACCGACGCCGATACATTTGGGGTTACATGTACGATCTTAATTCCTTAATTTTTGTTTTACGACTGCTTCTTATCATGAAAAAAATACAAAGACTGGTTTATTAGTCTTTGGTTCCATCATGTAAGGAAAAGAGAGGAAAAGAAAATTAAATAAGTTCTTTTAAACACTAAGCATCCTACTTTAGATTTATAATGAGTAAAGTGGTGGTAATGATAAAACATGGCCAGATGTTATTTAAAATATTTATTTATTAATTAGTCCCAATGGATATGGCGGTGCCACACAAAGCCATGTTGTTTGGAACCCTCTTTCTTGTGGTAAGTCTTCTCCCATTCCTTGTTGGATATTCAGGTCATGATCCATTTACCGTTAAATTATCGGTATTTTGTGTATAATTGTAGGATTTCCTCTACTACGAGCAAGAAAAGAACAACAACAATTAGAAATGAAAGAATTACAGGGTTCATGGACAATTGAACTATAATTAGGGAAAGCAATTAACTTGTACTGTATACTAGTAATGAAAAGGGAAGACAATCCAGAAAAATGTAATTAATCATTTTTATAATGTTTATCAACTTGTATTTATTTTTATACTTTGTGATAACCATCGACATTTTAGTAACCTTCATACATTTTACATTTATATTTAGTTATTTTATTACATTTGTTTTATTTTCACTTGAGGTGTAATGGTCTTGATGTAAAATGACAAGGATTCTCTTTTTATTTTGTTTTACATTCTCATAATTTACTGTATTTTACAATCCCTTGATTTGCTGTATTTGACATTCCCTTAATTTACTGTATTTGACATTCCCTTAATTTACTGTATTTTACAATCCCTTAATTTACCTCTTCAGAAATATTGCATACATATTTTTTTTTTTACTTAGAACTGCATGATTCACATTCGAATTTTATCTTTATGGGGCTTGGACACAGAATTAAAGTGAACATTTTCTAAAATTTTCGGTATAATATCATGTTTTTGTTTTGAACACATTTTACTGTAATACAAAGGGATTCGTTACAAGTTTTCACTTCTTCAAAAAAAAACCTTCCCTGTAATAATTATGTACAATGATTATAATGATTGTCGAACGAATTAATTACAATGTTGTAATGAAAATGTGAAGCTATACAGGCTATTTAAGTAAACTTTTTCAAATATTATATGTAAATTTTCCAAACATTCTGCAAACTTTATATTTGATGCTTTTAAAACCCGTCAGAACGTCACAACAAACATTCTAATATAATTTTTCTTCATTTATGTGCGTTTATATATGTATATTGTTAAAATATTACCAGTGACATATTGGTCCTTTTGGCCGGATGTAAGATACTAAGTATATTGTTGTAAAATACACTGTATTACTATATAATACACATGTCACTATAATAAATAATTTACTTACATACTTATTTACTTACTTACTTTAAAGACAATTTAAGTTCAGAATCTACCAATCATCATCATTAAATAATAGACCTCATGCATGATAAATATTTAAAGTTTTATATTTAGGAGTGATATAGAAGATATCTAAGATACATATTGTAAGTCGTAATCTACCCGAATCTCAAATAATTTTTTGTACACTGCCAAAGAAAAAAAATAAATAAAAAATAACTGAACTTAATTGACAATTAACAAGGAGAGATGGAATGTTTGGTAAAGAATTTTTCCCATATAACAAGTTCTTTTGGTAAAACTAAAGGGAGAAATAAAATGTGCAAATCAAGAAGTAAGCACATGTTTCTTTAAAAAGATATAAGCGAGTATTTGAAGAGATGGTAGAGTGATTTTGGTGTCTAGTCGGTTTTGTTACTTTGACACAAATAAGCGTATTATGATATTTTACTGAGACGTATATGAGAGATGTGAGCTCTTTTATGTTTTAAGTGGAAAACTTGTTATCGATAAAAATCTTATTTTCGAAATTTGCAAATAAATGAAATTTTATATAAAAAGAACCAAAGAGAATTCAAACCTTTTTAAAGAAAACAGAGCAAAAATTGGATGTCTAGTCTAACTTGTTACGCATTCGTGCTTAGACAACGTGACGTCAAAAAATAGTTTTACTTGCAAACTTGTCATTTTTAAGGGAAATACAAATCTGTCATCAGCAGAATAAAATATTAATTAGTGAAAAAAAGAAGGAAAAAAAGAGAATGAAAGAAGGCAAGATAATCCAAAAAAAAAAAAAGATTCTCGTGTGAAAAAAAAATCAATATTTCTGATTGGGATGTTTAGTACTTTCACTTGGACGTAAACTTTAAGCGTTTTAATGACGCTATTTTGACGTTACAAAACGGGCCCCAACTCTATGCGCGACGTCGTATGTATTCATAATCAGAACAGCTCAGAAAGATACACCGCAGATTCTTTAGTGTCCTGGTTTGAATCCACCTGTTGGAATACTTTTATCATTTCAAATTTTCACCTGTATAAACACGAATTTAATTTTTTGTACAGGCTTTTGCATTTTACTTCCATTTTCTTCATTAAATGTATGTTTGCTGTTGATATAAAAGACATTTATGGAAATGCAGATCATAAAATCTCTTTAACTAAACGCAATCAACCGGAACTATACCTCAGTGTAAGCCTTTGTTCGAGGACACGAATCATTCACTTTGTGTTACTCGATACTGAGCAAAAATTGCTGCGTTTGTCTTTCAAGAACATCACTGGGTAATAGTACTGTTGTGCCAGTGGGAGAAATACTGCCCTTTGCAGAGAGGATGCAGTTCATTCTTCGGGAAAATTGTGTACATTGGCGACATGTTATGTCAAAAATGCAGGAGGGAGGTTTACAGATTAAAAAAGAATGTGGTAAGGTCAGTTAAGGTTTTATGTCTCGTTGCCATTACCCAGGTATCAAGTAAGGACCCTCATGCAAAGGATGTATCTGTATATACCGAAGTAGGGTCATATGAACACGCATTTGACTACAACTAAAGCGACACATGATAAACAAGAAACTACACGCATGTGGCCTAAATTCAGCGACCGGAACGGAAATCGATAAGCTTTTTCTAAAGACTGAAACCAATATCGGCCCTATAGGTCAACACATTTATTTATCTAGAAGTGATCCTTTAGAGGCGGATATATGAATTTATGTATTTTCACTATATGATCAATAGATCTAGAGCTCCAATACACCAGAATCCTGACCCTGGGGCAATGAATTTCACAATTTTGGTTGAGGGCTCAAAGCTTTTTACAATCATGTCAACGTTTGATTGCTTGATGTCCAGGAGTAGGGATGAAAATTTTTAAATTTTAAATAAATTTTAAAGGTTTTAGCCCCACCCATCAATGCCCAAGGAGGGGGGGGTAATGAAATCCATTTTACCCCCTTTCCCCATAGATGTTATATGCCAAATCAGATGGATATTGTTTCAGCAGCTCCAGAGAAAAGGCTGAAAATAATCATTTGTTAATGCAGAATGGATAACGATAGACAAAAAAATCACCTGAGTGACTCAGGTGACCTAAAAATCCTTCACTGTACATGGATATGCTTTTCTATACTTTCTTTTCAAAGAATTAATTCTTATTAAGAAACCTTGTTCCTACTTTAGCCCATAGGCCTTAAATGAATTCGACTTTATCAAAATTATTTTAAAATTTGAAAAAATTGTAGCCACCATGCTGTTGTTTTTGATCAAAAAATTTTTTTAAAGTATTTTTTTTTTACCAAAATACCTCGATCCTTCCAAAGGAAGACAATTAAAATAGAAACATAGATTACAAAGCTCACACTGACAAATGTTATCTACAATTCAGGCAAAGGCTCTCACTAAACTAATGTTCAAGTACATGTGGTGTACATCTAATTGCAACGCATATGCAAGTTTTGTCTTGACAGGACGTACAGTTTACTAAGGAATTTAATGAACCTGCTCCCAAAATTAACTGTAAAATCAACTGAAAAGTGTTAGTCAGATCCAGCATTCAAAGCATATTTATCATTTATTAGTGTGCATCCCTAAATGCAATCATCAGTGCATCATTAACTTAGGAATGGGTCCTCTCTATCTTTTTGTTCAATTACATAGAAAAATTACTGCCAGTCTCCACAGATACATAAATAAAATTCACATATTTCAGCATATATCTTATAGGGCAAAATTTGACAAAAACAAACTTTTTATTAATTATTAAGAAATAAATGTTATTTCTCCCAGTAAGATTTATCTCCCTTACCAGAGGATTGATCATTAACAACATAAAATTTGTACAGCAATCGATTAAATCAACACATATGAATCAAATTTATGAAGTTTTCTGCTGTTCTTACAGTCCTTTTATAGTTCACATCTAAACTGCTGCACTAAATAAATCCTCCTAAAATGCTCCAGATTTGCAAGTCTGGTTGGTGTAATCTAGCTATGAACAATTAAAAACGTTTTGTTTTTTTTTTACTATCTTTTAATAAGTCATAAAATTCAGAAAGATGAATCCAGACAGACTTGGCATCCATAGATCTATACATACAGCATCCAAATCATGTATTTGACCAAGAACCCACTGGTGAATTAATGCAAGATTGGTTTTGATACCGTAACTTGTATTAAGACGAAAACATTCCCAAACATTAATTGTCCTTCATAGTCATTTAAAAAAAAAAGAACAGGTATGGAGCATTCAAGCACCTCAATATCTAAAGGTGCATATACTTACAAGCACAAGTTAAGCTTTCTTCTTGATGTGATAATTGGTTCAATTGACTCCCATTATTGGAAACTTGCATTTGGTCTTGTTTCTCATGCATGCATTGGGAAGATGGAGCCACTACAGCATATAATGTGTGCTCCAAGTCAGCTAGATCATTGCATGTATCAGACTGCATGCATTCCTAGATCTATGTAAAATATGTGCAAGTTCAGTTTTAAAGATATCATGCATAATGATATAAACAGCACTCAATCATTAGCTTTACACATCTAACACAATTATCATGTACTGGTATTATAATTTGAATTGCAACATCAACACATTAAGCTTTAATATTCTTGTAAACAAATTAATTCAACAATCAAAAATGTACATCAATAATATGCAAATTAAAAGAAAAAACAATGCAATAAAATTTTGGACAAATTCACAAAATTATCCCAAAGCTTCCCTTCCCCTTCCCAGGAAAACCTACATGCAGAAATCCCATCTTGGGTGCAAAATCTATTAAGGACTGTGTGTCCATAGTAAATGCAGGGGAAACAACACGATCAATGGACCCTCATTCTTACAAGCCTATAATGAAAATAAATTTACTTTTCGGCAACCCTCTAACAGAGTAAATATCCAAACCCCAAATATCAGCTGAACACAATACTCAATCCCCTTTGTCTTACCATGAATGACCCATTCAATGTTCATTTGTAATTTATTGCAACAAGAAAAGAAATTCACCTTGTGTTTTCCTCCAAATCTAATAGTGGATATAAAGAAGAAATTATATTGATGCCTCTTTCATACAGACTCAAACCTTTAGATAAGTGCAGATTTTGGCTTCTGTAGTATATAGGGATGTAGTGTGGATTCATCCTATCTATCCGACACTCTGCTTAAAAGTGGCTCAACGTGTCAAAAACATTCTCTATGCGTATTTTAAGCAAATTTTTACTTATTATGACAGAGTTGAACTGATTGACTAATCTAGTGTTTAAGGTCTGCAGCAAACAAAGTATGCAGTAGACTATATGTATGCATTGATAGATTCACCTTAAGTTCAGTATATATAATGCATTTGATGATGTGGAAAAACCCTCTGTCCTTAACTATAATTATGAAAACAAATAAGCTACAATAAGATACATATTTAGTTCAAGTTTGGTTAAGAAATCTTTTCTAAAAGAGCTGGGGAAATAGCATTTTATAGGACAGATTAAATTATCCCCCCTCCCCAATGTAGCCTAAGTATAAATAAATCAATTTAAATAATTGTTACAGAAGGAAAATAATGGCAAGAAAAAAATTACATTTCTTACTTCTTAGCTGAAAATGTTTTTAAGAAGTTGACACATACAACAGAATCAGATAGGCAATACATGTACAGTCAAACCTCGTTATCTCAAACTCAATGGGACCGAGAAAATACTTTGAGACAACCGAGGATTCGAGATATCCAGCGTAAAATACTTTAAGAATAAGTGGTTGGGACTTCTGAATCACTTTGACATATCCATGGTATTCAAGATATCAGTGTTCGTGATACCGAAGTTCAACTGTATATTAATGAAACATGAAAACTGTCTTTTAATTGAACATGTAACCAGATAAGAAATCACTCGGCACACCTCGGCCGATTCGTACCTCATCTAAGAAGGTGACGGAATCAGCCAAGGTTTGCCGAATGGATATGAAATATCAAAAAAGAAAATACACATAAAAAAAAAATCACCTT